CTCCAAAACAGATGAAAATGACATTTTATGGCTACTGTGAAAAGGGGATGAGGTACATTTTCTTAAACCTTTAAATGGCCAAGGCCCCCAGGTGGGCCCAAAGTTATTACACACTTATGACCTGAGAATAGCTCAGCCAGTTTGTATTGAAGTCCCTGTAGCTACTGAACAATAAGACTTAATATGTAATAAGGCTGGGATTTTAAGAGGTTAAAAGTACTGTGACTGTAGCTGAGCGAGCAACATCAAGAATCTGAAATCTCACTGATGGTCAAAATATGCAATTCTTCAAGCAGAATATGCTCAATATATGCTATTCTTATGCTTTTATTGATTTGAATATTTTATAAGAAAATTTGCTAAAATTAAGATTAGACTATTTATAATCTTGACTAATTTAGGTATAATTGCACACTTTGGACTCTTTTCCAGTGCATCATCTTCTGTTCTTAAGTGGTTTAGCTGACAAGTCTGATCAAGCACTCGGAATTCAGCATAGCAGCGCAGATGTAAGATGGTATTTCATAGGGGCTATTCTCAGAAATATCAATATTTCATGCAACAAGTTAGCTGTTGGTGGTTGGCATCTTTATTGAGCGAAAAACCCCCTAGTGTCAGAACTAAAATGTCATGTGTGCATTTATTGTCTATCACTGTCATCTTTTGTTATTCAGTAAGTCAGCCTCTCTCTGTGCGCAACAAACATCTGTCTCCTCCAATCTATAGACATGTAAATGCATTGACTGTGGCCATCACAATGACATTATGGGTCTTTGTGGTAGTTGCAAAGTTAAAGCTGCAGAAGTTGCAGAGTGAGTTGATGCCCACATAGACGCTTCTCACACTTTTATTTCTATTTTAAGAAACAGGAATTCATCACTGGTTTTCTGCTCACATTTCTAGCCCTTTGCATAAAGACAGCATTTAAAACAAGCATAGAGAAGGTATATGACTAGCAAAACATGTAGTGTAATGCTGCAATGTAAAGCCTCAAATGTATGTATCTTGTTGCTATTTCTCATTGTAATAATTGATTACATTGAATTAATTCATTTGGAATTTATATTGAAATTAAATGTCTTTAAATGCAAACATACTTTTGAACTGTTGTGTACTGTTCTTTGATTTGATACTTGAATTAACTGAAAAAAAAATACATGTGACCTTTTTGTAAAAATCAAACAGGCGTGGTATTGCATTGTTTGATGCCCTGTATTTAAAATAAATGGGTCACTAAAACATAGATAAAGCACAGGTTGTACAAAATAAAGTAGAAATCAAATAAACTCATAATCCCCCCCTCCAAAAAATTGTGAAATTGTTACTATATGGTTTTTCACTTTTGTCTTGCAACTGATAAAGTACAAGTAATTGCTGCCATTTCAAAAGCATGTATTTAGCTTTTTAAGCACCACATACTATCAGGTGAGCACCAGATACTATTTGATGAGCACCAAATACTGTATGTTGAGCACCAGATACTATATAGATAGCACCATATACTAACAGGTGAGCACCAGATACTATTTGATGAGCACCAGATACTGTGTTGAGGACCAAATATTATGTAGAGAGCACCAGATACTATCAGGTAAGCACCAGATACTATCTGTTGAGCACCAGATATTATTCAGAGAGCACCAGACATTATGTGGTCAGCACCAAATACTATCAGGTGCACACCAGATACTATTTGTAGAGCTTCAGATACTATGCAGTGAGCATCAGATGCAATGTGGAGTGCACCAGATGTTACGTAGAGAGCACCAGATATTACCAGGTGAGCACCAGATACTTTTTTAGAACTCCAGATACTGTGTAGTGAGCACCAAATTCAATGTGGAGAGCACCAGATGTTGTGTAGAGAGCACCAGATACTATCAGACGAGCACCAGATACTATAACTTTTGGAGTAGTGCTCTCTGATCAGATGAAACAAAAATTGCACTGTCTGACCATAATGAACTGTTCTATGTAGAGAAAACGGTGAGACTTTTAATTCTAGTTTTACAGCAAAACAATGATCCTAAGCATTCCTGCAAAGTTCTGACAAAATGGCTTAAAAGCAACAAAGTTAAAGTATTGAAGTTTCCTTCACAAAACCCTGACCTAGGAAGTTTGTGGACTTTGTTGAAAATTGTATCAGAGTAAGGAGGCCCACAAACCTGAGTTACATCAATTCTGTTAAAAGGAATTGGCAAAAAAATTAGCAAATACTAGCAAAGTATATGTAAACTTATGATCCACTGAAAATCTGATATAGTAAATAAAACCTGGAATAAACATGTCTCTGTAATTTGAAATGACTTCTTATGGAATCAGGAAATGTATGGCAACAGAAATTGTGAGGTAAAAAAAAGACATTGAATATCTTTAGCTCAGGTGTATTTAAATGTTTGGCCTCAACTGTATCTTCACAATGTCAAGTGCTTTTTCCTTATCTTGTACTATTTCAGCTGTTGAGTGAGGAAATTTATTGGGACAGCTGAGGGATCCCTAAAGTAGAAGTGCTTCTTCATCTGTGGTAAAATTTGATCTTTATCATGATGTAATTCTCTTATGATGTGAATCATCAAAGTCTTTATTATCATCATAATAGAGTCTAAATGACCACCAGAAGACTAAATTCTCATTGTCAGTCCAATCAGTTCTTTCTCTTTTGTCATGTTACAGGAATGTCTGTGACCACACTTTGAGTCAGCAAAGTCCACACAAGCTTATCATTCACAAAGACCTCTGGTCTACTGGACAAGCCTGTGGGCAGTCAGGATGGTGCACAGATGTAACTTGACATTTCAGGGTTAGGAAGGCCTTTCTTTCTGCAGTACATGATTGACTGAGTTGTTGGCGGATTTATGAAGAAATGTGAAAGTATATGAAAATCGATAATATTTCAGAGGATTAAATTAACTTAAACGCAATGTTGTTTTTCTATAAAGATACAACAAGGAGCAAGAATGTCATACTTTATGCCATGTCAGGGTGCAGGCTCCCTCTGTGACAGACCAAATAGACTGTGATGGCCATAAAATTGTGCTGCTTTACTATTCTATTAACTTAACAATGTCTACTAAAGAGTTGATCAGGAGTGGTAAAAGATGGAAATGAATGAGTCATGTTTGGAATACAAATGTCAATACTGCAAGATTCAATGTGTGATGACACAGTTTGTTTCATGGTTAACATACGTCCTTAATTACACAATCATTTTCCACCACCATAATCAGACTGACTTCTTATTGCACAATGACTATGCCATCATGTACAGTACTTGGATGTGAAATGTTATATGAAGGTAGCCTACTTGAAGCTTAAAGTGCAATGTAGTCTTAAGCAGGTGGTCAGTGTACAAACATGCTTGCTACAGTGTTTGTGGAGGCTTATGTGCCCAGCTGGTTGCCTTCACATTTGACTTCCTGACCATTTGTTTTGCCCTGGGTTAATATTACCCTACAGTTCCAAGTACAGTCCACCCAGATAGCCATATAGAATACATTACTGATGAGTGTTTTATGTCAGTCATCTGAGTAGCTAATGCGAATGGGATACATACAGGGATTCATCAAGGTGGCAAAAACATTTATTGGAATGATGCCCTAGCAGAACCACTTTTGATTCCCTAAAGAACCTCGAAATCTATGCAAACAAGATCAGGTCACAGTTCCTGTGGTAAATTTTTCCCCATCTGCAGATGATGTGTAGTCTATAGTGTATGACAAACGCATTTTAGAAACTGGACTGGACGATAGTTCTGGGCAGACTGTTGGAGATAACCAGAACTTGCTTGGAAAGGTATTAAAAGGCCAATATTCTACATTTTCCTTGTATTTGATTCCCCCCTAAGGTCTGCTTATGATATTTGTGTGGGTGTATTTGCCAAAAACAGTCATAATTCATTTTTATGTGACCATTTCCAATTTCTCTTTATCCCTTAGAATTAAACAGACTATTTTTCTTATACTGTGCCTTCAAGAGTGATATATGTAAATGAAATCTGTTCTGATTGACTGTACTGTTTTTTTCTGTTTGGGCTGAAACATTCCTTATAACGGCTGCGTGAGCAGGAGAGGCTGAACTGCTGTATATGTAAAATATGTAAATGTGTTGTTTTTTGCTAAATCACAAAAAAGTGAATTTAAAATGGGTTTTTGCAGCTTATTTTCCATACGTAAAGTGTATGGACTGGGGAGTAAATAGTACATTTTGAAACATTAATAATAGTACATTTTGAAACATTAATAATATTCATACACTACATCAAACTCCTATATTAAAGGGGGATCCCACAGATTTTTCTAAATGTATGCATAATTAAATGCTTAAGAAGTAAACAAGGAACAAGACGTCTGCAGAGTTAAACGCCTGTTAAAGCTCCCTTACAGAAAGTTACTTTAAATGGATACTAGTACACTATCTGATTGCTGAAACATTGTTTAATGATAGTTTTCAGACACTATTAAAGTAAAACAGTGGTGTAACTTATCTTTTCGGGGGGGGTACTATTTTGTCTTATATTGCCACGCATGTACCTCTTCACCTTGAACAGATTTTAAAAATATGCCTTTTATATATTTTAGACTATCATCTAAAATGTCTCAGGCATTAGGTGATAACACTCTCTGAGGGATCTTTCAGAGGCATTGAAGTTTCAGAGGCAACTTCAGACGTCTGGTTCCCATCAGCACCACTGTGAACAGTTCTGACTAAGTTTCTCTACAACGAAGCGTTTCACACCAAACCACTCTGACTGACTGCGTTTACATCGCAGAGATTTAATTATGCAGATATTTAGAAAAAAAATCGGTGGAGTCCCCCTTTTAAAAAAAATCAAAGACAATGTGTTTTTCCATGTTCTGGTCGCATTAAGGGTAATTATGTCTCTAACCCTGATGAGTTGCAGTAGGAAGCTGTAAAGTAAGTTTAGTTTGAAAAGCATGGGGGAGGGGTCGAGGAGCAAGGCGGAGAAGGACGAGGAGGAGGAGGAGAAGGAGGAGCAAGCTGGCTTTCCAACTTGTCAGCTCGGCCGGAGATCGAAGTGAAGCGTAAAGCGCGGTGTGGTTTCTTCAGTAAAGAGTCCGGCAGCAGCGGAAGCTTTGGATTTACGGTACACTCCGGCAGATGCGATGGGAGCCTTCGGTGTGTGTCTGTGGCTGGGCGTGTGGATTTGCCCCCTGCTGCTGTGGACAGGTGCAGGCGCCTTTAACCTGGACACCCAGAACGTGCTGAGAAAGAACGGAGACTCAGGCAGCCTCTTCGGCTTCTCCATCGCCCTGCACCGCCAGCTCCAGCCCGCTGATAAGAGAATGTGAGTACTGCGCTGTGGATCACTCGCTGTGATTACAGACGGAGGAAGAGTGTTTGATTAAAGGGAAGACAGTTTGCCCCCAGTTCCCCCAGTGCACCTGCTTTCCTCTCGCGTTCAGAATACGCGCGAATACGCACCTGCGACCTTCCTTTAAACTAACTATTTGGTGTTCTTAAGGTGGACATGATGTGCACCGCATCTCTTCCGAAGTATATGGAGTTAAATTGAATTGAATGACCGCAGAGCAGCGTGTTAGAAGTGGCCCCTGTTGGGTTTGCCCTGTGTTGGGGGAAGCGGTGCTTGAAAACGGTGCTACAAGTTAACAATGCCGAGCACAAAGCCCTTTCTAAATGGCTCAATCCAAAGAGAAGTCTCCACATGCTTGGGCTTAACAATGCCTCGCAATGAAATGCAGATTAGTTCATATAATTCATTAGGAAACAGTAGCAGGCTGGAGTGTGTGTTTTTCACCTATTTCACCTTTGCAGCGTTCATCTATGCCTGTAATTATACACGTCTTAAAGTTTGTAGACACCTGCTCATCCAGTTTCTTCTGAAGGGTATTAATAGGGTGTTTGTCCGGATTTGCTGCTGTAACAGCCTCTACTCTTCTGGGAAACTTTACACTAGAAACATTGCTGCGAGAATATGATTGCATTCAGACATAAGAGCATTAGGAGGTCAGCCACTGATGGTGGACGATTAGTTCTCGATCACAAATGGCCCTCCAACTCATCCCGAAGGCATGTGGGGGAGCTCCATCACTACAAAGAAGACAGTTCCACTGCTCCACACCCAGTGCTGGGGAGCTTTATACCCCTCTAACATGCTTGGCATTGGGCTTGGTGGCTAATGTGTGGCTGCTTTAGAGCATCCTGTTTAATTGGAAATGCTTTTTTGTAGAGATTTTACAGACTGCGTGTGTGCAACTGACTTCAGTAGCTGAATTTGCTAATTAGAAGAAGTGTTTGGATACATTGGGACATGTTTTAGACTTTAAATTATGCTTTACATCATGTTGATTCAGTAGTTCTTCTCAACATCAAAACAACATTATTTCAGTTAGAGTTATCCATCTGGGACATGATACAACTTTAATAAAGCATCTGTTGTACTGCTAACTGTGATGAGACCAGTTTGCAGCATGCTGAGGTTAAAAGTTTACAGCCTGTGCTGTGAGGTCAAACTCAGCAACTCTAGAAATGTACAATCCAAGTCAGAAAAAGCTGATGTACATTTATAAGATGAATGCAGATGGTCGGTCTTTAATAGCTTCTGGGTTTTGTATATGGAGCCTCTGAACTGGATGGTGTTCAGTATAGAATGCATGAGCAATCATGTGTCAGAAAGAGCTGAATGAGTGGATGAGCAGGAGGGCTGAAGGATGAGTTTGGTGCACAGACATGAAAGGACATTGTGTCACACAAAGCATGCTTGGTATTGTGTGTGTGTGAGGGAGGGGTAAATAGACACACACACACACACACACACACACACACACACACACACACACACACACACACTTTAGTCTACTCATGTCTATTGTCATGAAGTTTGAAAAGTGACACGAAATGTTAAGTAAATCCAGATCATGTGATCATATTAGCTATGTAAGCTGTCAGCTGTCTTAGAAATTAATTGTGTGTGTGTGGGTGTGTGCGTGAGAGAGACAGTCCCTGGAAAAGACATTGTCTAAAACGCAACATATGTTGCTCCAAAATGTGTATATGTTTCAACATTAATGGTGCATTCACAGATGAAAAGCTACCCAAGCCGTGGGCACTAATGCACGCCATACCACCACAGATCCTGGCCTTGAACTTTACACTGGTAACAATCTGGATGATCCTTTTCTTCTTTGGCCCGGAGAACACAACGTTTATTATTTCCATAAACAATCTGAAAGGTTGACTCATCAGACCATAGCATACATTTCCACTGTGCATCAGTTTATTTCAGGCAAGCTAGAGCCCAGATAAGTTGGCACATTTTTGGCTCCTTTTATACCCAAGCCTTATTGTATCACCTGATTAAGATTTTTTTTTTTTAAATTTCACAAGTTCCAAGTCTTAAATTGTCCCTGTACCAACATTTTTGGGACGTGCTGCAGGTATCAATTTCAGAATGAGTGTGTATTTACAAAAAAACACAAACACACCAACATTGAAATTGATAAGGTAAAACATTAAATATCTTCTGTCTCTCAGTTGTCAACTGTGAAATGTCAAGTATGATTGGCAGATTTCAGCTGTCAAGTTTGGTTTTGGTTTCTGTTAATTAGCTCTTATGTTGTGTTTTTTATCAGTTCTCATCATAAGAAAGTATGTGTGTGTTTTAACACACAAGTCTGATGCTAAAGGTTAGGTTTGAATGCATTTACATATTTTTGTTATTTTAATCATGATGTTTATGTACAAATTTACTAGTTCCTCCAGTGACAGAAACCATTAACTCTTTGAAAGTGGACGTTTTTTGACAGTTTTCTTCATATCAGGTTTTCATCATATCAACTTCATATCAAGGATCTGTGCCCTAAACACTTGGACATCTGCTAAAGATATATGTGATACCATGATCAAAAACTCCAAACAATTAATGTTTATTAAATTAACTCCTTGGCCATGGCTGAACAGCAGGTCATGCTGAAACCTGGAGTCAGGTTTCCTTAATGGTTTTGTCTCTCTTGAGTTATTATTTTCATTGGCTAGATGAAGATTTGGAATTCCTCAGCAGCCTGGTACTTTATCTCACCCTTTCTCTGGAAGAAAGAGGACTAGAGGGACACAGGACTGGAAAAGATGACACACAAAGCAGGGCACACACTGAGAAAAGTTTTTGTGCAGGGCATGTTTGAGGATATGAAAGTAAAGTGGTCATTAGCATTAGTGACACCAGACTAAACAATAACATAATAGAAAGTTGCCGGTTCGAATCCCTGGGCCGACAGTACGTGACTGAAGTGCCCTTAAGCAAGGCACCTAACCCCCAACTGCTCCCCAGGCGCTGCGGATAGGGCTGCCCACCGCTCCGGGCAAGTGTGCTCACTGCCCCCTAGTGTGTTTGTTCATGAGAGTGTATGTGGTGTTTCACTGCACGGATGGGTCAAATGCAGAGGTGAAATTTCCCCATTATGGGACTACTAAGGGTCACTTATCTAAATTAATCTAATGTTCTGACTATCACTGGGACTATGTGTAGAAAGATATAGAAAGACATCATAAACAAAATCCACTACTGATTATTATTTTTTTTACTGTAGAATTGCAGACTGTATAGCGAGGGGCATTGCAATCATGGTCCAGTAGACTGGAGTGCTCAGGCTCATGGAGGATCATGTATTAATGCCTGCAGGAGGTGAACAATTATTGTGTAACTGTATCTCTGGGAGTCCCAGCAGGTCACACTCAGAATGCAGGCCAGATTTCAATCACTGTTACTTTCCTTCTGTCCTCTTTACACTTATTCACATGGCTTCTAACACGGTGCAAATGGCAAGTAAATGGCTAGAGCTGAGCCACTTTTTCAGATATTTCAGATTTTTATTTTCAAATATAGTGTTTCTGCTTCTGTGAATAGTCAGGAAAGATTATGTGGTTGGCGTTTGTTTACTCTGAAACCAGAGAATAGTAGTTATACATACACAAGGCCATCTGTGCTAATGTAACATGATAGACAGAAGATAGCTGGAAGCAAGCTTTTACTAAAATGGTGCAAATCTGAAATCTACACTAACTGCAGTTTGACTGTAAGACTGATAGCTGTTAATGCTACACAATAACTCTGTTGTATGTTATTGTGTGGATAGTACTTTTCAGGTGCATGATTGCATAGGGCAGAGAGATAGTAATTTCCTGGTTTATTTCAAATGTCAGATGGTTTGTGATTAATCACTACAGGTTATATATGTGGGTATATATGTGGGTAGCACTTTACTGTAGGGCAATGTTCATAAGGCTAAACGATACCCACATATTCTCTTTACGACAACTGACAAAGACCTACATACACATTTATAAACACGTGTTCCAATTGACGTCATTTGTCATAAAGGCTGCGTTTGCCAACTTTTGCCAGGTGACACTGATTTTTTTTCTGACATTAGGTTGCCATGACACTTTGTGAGGTGAAATGACAGATTTTGTAGCTCAGTGTATGTCACAGTGATATAATGCTGATAGTATAACTAGCTTGCCAAATCAAGTGGAAAAAATTGAGCGTTTTCTGTGGCCCGTAGGTAAAGTGAGTTTCATTTTTATTAATCTAACATAATCCTAACATGAAAGCTGACAAAAGCATCGCTTATGACTGAATACGTCTGTTGGAATAAGCCTTTATAAATGTTCATAAAAGTTTGTCAGTTGTCATAGTCATGACAAGCTTATGTAGGTGTCATGTAGACTTTTGAACACTGCTCTACAGTAAAGTGCTACCTGACTGTGTACACTCTGAAACAGAAGGTGCCACAAAGGGTTCTTTGAGTGATGCCATAGAAGAACCATTTTTGGTTCCCTAAAGAACTATGTTTGAAGAAGAGATTTGTGAGTGTTAAGAACCTTTTAAAATAGTAAAAAAACACCTTCATGTGATGTAAAGATTCTATTTTAATTTAAGGGTTCTTCCTAGAAATTTTACATAATGTAGAGGTTCTTAAACTTTAAAAAGGTTCTTCACGTGCCCTCATCTGATTAACAAAGATAATTCTCTAATGAGCCCTCCTTTAAAAAATGTGTTTAAGGCAGCTAAAAGTAGTTCTTTCTGAGCAAAATACCCTTTTGGCACCTTTGTTTTTAAGAGTGTATTTCTAGGAAAGAAAGACAGAGCTTTTACATGAAACGGTGATCTACTGTATCTTTTGGAATGGGCATTAATGTGGCGTGGAAGATGTTTCTTTGCTTGCAGATGCTGAACAAATGCAGTGACTCTTTGTATTATCATCCTTGGAACTGAATAAAATGTTCACAACTAAACAGTTGCAATTATGTATGGTTATGAGGAGGTCTTTAGGAACTCAACCAGACCAAAAGTAGCTGCTGTCACATTGGCAATGGTTGCTTTGGCCTGTGTTAAGGCTTGGTAAGGGGTAAAGTTTTTGGGTAAAATGACAGGCATCAACCAGCTGTTGTGGCCCATCTGGCTGTGAGGACACAGCTGTGGACAGTGTAACAAGAGTCTTTGTGTATGCGCGCACACACACACATGAAAACTCACACATGCACACAAAAGAGCTACAAAAGGCTAAACCATTGGCAAAGCCTGATGAAGTCAAAATATTAAATCTTTACCCACTTCTTGTTCTAACGTTATTTTTAAATTACTAAAACTGTGACATTTGTTTTAGTATGCTGTGGAGTTGAATTAGCCAGTATGTATTACAGCAGTTGGGCTGCTGCCCGTATTGGCAGGCTTAAACTAAATCAAACTCTATTCCCTCTTAGAGTTACTGAGAGTAAAACATAAACAGTTATTGTAATCAGGATGGCTGAAAGTCTTAAATTCCCTCAGGTTGGCTAAAAAAATCTCAAGCTATGTCTTTTTTCGAAGCATTTGCGAACAAAGTCTTAATTTCTCTGGTGAGGTCATTTGGCCTTGTCATTGCTCAGCATTAGCTATCTGGGAGTGGCATATTAGGGTGGTGGTCTGGCAGACTGGCAAATTCTCCACATTCAACTTAGATGACTTGTCCTATATTCATCAACTGTAAGGCTTTGTGTCCTTATCCCTTAATCCAAGATTGTGCCAGTCAGTGCAGAAGTATTTCTGCTTACCTTTTGCAAAGTGATTGCTTTACTATCCACACATTTCACTGCTGAGAGAGCACTGGGCCTAGAGTGACGCGCAATGGACTAGAGCGTGTCTTGGCCAGGAATGAGCCTATATAGAAGTGGTGGACAATGACCATTATCTTGTGATCAGCATGAAGCCTCTCATTCATCCTTATGGCCGAGTGACCCAGTAACAATCCTGTGTAGCGCTTTGTGGTTCCCACAGCCTGGCTGCCCACTCATCTGAAAGTACCCATGCCGCAAAGCAGATTAAGGGGCTTTGAGTTCACAGATGAAGAGATGAGATTTCTCTCCACTATAATGCCTGGCCTGTTTCCAATGTGTTGAGTGGTTTGCCGAACCTAAGTACTTGAGTTGTGGCATGTAAATGCCAATGTTGTCCCTCAGTGACATGCTAAATTCTACAACTCTTCCAGAGGGTTGCAGTATAGTGTGCTCTCTCGTGCCAAACTGAACCTCTTCCAGGCAAATGTTTTCAGGAGATCAGCAGGATTCTAGGTTGTTGTTGCTGTAATGTTTCATAACAGTGACAACATAGAAAATATCATGTTGTATTGCAAGTGTGTAATAGCCAAAGCTTGATCCACTCAATCTGGTGGAAATGTTGACAAGCATTATGTCTTGGATTAAGATCTTTTGCTGTTCTCCGTTTTAGCTCAGTAAAAAACAGTAAGTGCTTTAAAGGGGAATTCCACAGATTTTTCTGCATTTTTGCATAATTAAATGTTTCAGAAGTAAACAACGTCATTCAGAGTGCTCTGTTCTACAGAAACTTATGAGTCAGAATTGTTCGCAGTGGTGGTGATAGGAGCCAGACGGTCGAAATGTTCAACGCTTCTGAAAGCTCCCACACAGAAAGTTATTACGTAGAACGGTTATGAATACGTTGCCTGATGCATGAGACATTGTTTTATGGTAGTTCTAAGAAATGTTTTTCTTAAAATGTATCTTTAAGGAGTATTTTAGATGTTGAAGAGGTACATGCAAGGTGTTGTAAGGCAAAATAGCCACCCCAAAAACCTAATTGTTTTACCATTATCAACAATACACATAACATTTTTTGGGCATGTCTATATATGTGTTGTAGACATATGTGTTCCTATCACCACCACTGTAAAGAAATGCTGATGATAGAGGCAGATGTTTAAGAGTAGAGAGAATTTTCTTCATTTTGTTCATGCAGTAGTGTGGTAAAGCTTACTCCCTCCCTGTAATATCTGTTAACAGTAGCTCCTTTAAGAACTTGGCTCTTTCTGAACATTTTCTCTCTCTCTCTCTCTCTCTCTCTCTTTCTCTCTCTCTCTCTCCTTGTGTGCTTGTGTCCGTTTCTGCTTGTCACCCCCACGCCCTAGTCCACACAGCCCTGCCTGGAAAAAATGAGCCTGTAACCACTTTTTTCCCGCCGTAGTTTGTCCAACAATAAGTTCCCTATGTACCCTGTTGGTTGAGTAGAAAGGTTTTTTCATTACTGTACTGTCGATTTATAAAAGTCTGCCATGCTGAAGGCCTCTGAGAAAGGTTTCAGTAGGATAACTGTCACTCTGCACTTTACTTAACTCGATGACATAATCTCTTTAAAGATTTTAGGATGGCAAGGATGAATTTAAGCAGACAATAAATCCTTGCTGAAATATGAAAAACGTGACCATTATTTTGTTGGATTTTGTATTTATTTATTTATTTTACAACATTTGAAAATATCAGGTACACTTTACATTATGTGAATATTTCATGAGTGGACCAGTAGAAATGGTCCAAAATTGCTTTTAGTTTTTTTTTCTTTCATTAAATTAAGTTTTTTCCCTTCTCCTGTAATGTTACCATTTCAGAGATGGAAGATTTTGTTATGACAGTGAAGAATGTGGTCAGCTGCATTGTAAAAGATGCACTAATCTCTTTGACAATGTGTCTAGTTTGTAGTGGAATCATGCAGAAAATTGTTTACATGTGTATTTGATCCTCTTTGAAATAATGTATGATTAGATTTAATCTTTTGATGGAATGTGTTTGCTCGATGAGCATATCACTAAGTAGCAGTGTGACTAAGCAGAACTTTTATATCAGGTGTGCTTTGCTGTTTGTACATTGTCCCAGTGTAATGACAGTGGTCTGCATAAATTATTGACCCAGTCCAGCTGGCTGATGGAACAGGAGTCAGACAGACAGCTGGAGCTAAAGTGAGCTGTCATCCCTCCTGATCATCACACAGCTCCACACACTATTGCATTATAGAGCATCTCTCCAATACAAATATCAGAAAGAACTTCAAAGAACTGTCTTGTTTATTACGGTTGTCATTTGGAAAGGTGATACATACAAAAGCAATTTATGGGACATCACTTATGTCTTTATATTGTTTATATAGCATTTATTTCTTGCGGAGAGCTTTCCTTATGAAATCTTACATTAATATTTAATGTTGAACATGTTGGTTGTATTGATTCTTATTACAGTGTTGTTTTTTTTCTTTCTTTGTTTTATTAATTTGTTTACAGTATGCAAAAGGATGGCACCACTGGTCAAATTACATGTTTTGTTGATTTTCTATGTGAAAATAATTTAACACATCCTCTACAAAGAACACATCACTGCAATTTTTTATGCACAATTACTGTTTATTTCATATTGGGAAAAAATAAAACTTAAGATGCAGCCTCTGCAAAAATTATGCACACATCATATTTTATTTTTCTCCAACATTTAAACTTAATTCAATAAATTTTGCAGAAGAAGGCCATAATTAACTTTGTTCATATTTGTTCGTTTTTTCAGACTGTTGATTGGCGCTCCCAGGGCCAAAGCTTTAGCTAATCAGGGAGCTAACATCACTGGGGGTCTATACAGTTGTGACATCACCACCCAAAGGGATGACTGTGATCGGATTGAGTTTGACAACGATGGTTAGTGTTGCAATAATCTCAAATTTTATCATCCTTTCACCCAATATTATGGCTTGTACTGCATATAATCATAAAAAACAATGTGCCAAACAGAGTTTAACATTATGTTTTTTTTAATGCACTGCTGTTAGCTGATGTGCGTGTGGAAAATAAGGAGAATCAGTGGATGGGCGTGACCGTTCAGAGTCAAGGACCAGGTGGAAAGATTGTGGTAAGACTCACTACTATTTAGCTGTTATGTTCTGAGTCGTTCATGCATTGCATTCCACTCCATTCATTCCACGTTCCAGTCAGTTTTGTTTAACAGCTGTATATTGCAGTATATTTGCAGGTCATTTTGTGTTTCCTCTACTGTTCCCTGTTAGACATGTGCCCATCGCTACCAGAGGCGGCTGTTTGTGAACACACCGCAGGAGTCACGGGACATCACCGGTCGCTGCTACGTGCTCAGTCAGGATTTAAGCATTGACAGCCAATCAGACGAAGATGGTGGGAACTGGAAATTCTGCGAAGGTCGTGCCAGAGGTCATGAACGATTTGGAGCCTGTCAGCAGGGTGTGGCTGCCACCTTTACCAAAGACTACCATTACGTCATCTTCGGAGCCCCAGGAGCTTACAACTGGAAAGGTAGTGGAGAGTAAAGGTGCTTTTAAGGAATTCAGAAGTTTTTTAGAAAACTTTAAAGAACTGAAGGGTTTCGTTACCAATTTTTTTTCCCTAAATATGTCATTGGGATTAGGATTAAATGTTATGAATAATGTGTTTTCCAATCTATATCAGCTGTTATTCTTTTCAAAAACACAGTGCATTCAAAATCATAACAAATGCATATACAGCATTTTGCAATGAAACTCAATTGTCAGGGCTGTATAGACGCTGAACTCGCTGAACATTTCCGTCATTTCATATGGAGATGTTTCTTATTGACTATATAGCAGCGATTCTCAGCTCATATCTGGGGTGATCATTCCACTACACATCTTTACTTAGCTACACGTGATTTAACTGATGAAGCCCTTAATAGTTAGATTAGTATAAGTAGTTGTTAGCACTAAACTGTGTTGTGCAGGACTACTCATGTTTGGAAGTGAGAGCTGCTATCCCATAGATTACTCAGTCTATTCTCTGCCAAACACAAACAGTGCAACACTGATTACTTCACAAAGTTATTGTACATATCTTTTAATTATTTTCAAAATTACAGTTGACAGAGCAGTAGTTTTGGTTTTGTCTCTGCATCCTTCTGCCCTGATCTCCATCCCTCTGTGGCTTTCAGGCATTGTACGAGTCGAGCAGAAGAACAACACCCTGTTGGAAATGGGCTTTTATGATGATGGACCGTATGAGGTCGGGGATGAAAGTCGTCTGGAGTCAGATCTGGTGCCTGTACCTGCTAACAGTTACTTAGGTAGGTTTGACCTGTGCCTGCTATGTGCCTTTGATTGCTTTTCTTTGAATATATGTGCATGTGTGTGAGCACATTTAAACCATGTGTTCAGTTTTTTTTTGACCTCCAGTTCCTGATCAGTTCCCATACAAGTCACCCCCTCTGCTAGCTACTATGGAAGAACATTAAATGTGCTGGCTTACAGTTACTTTGTCTTACAAAATGAAAGTTCAGGGAAGGTTTGGAGCTCTGCTTATTTTGGTTGCTTAAATAAGCTTTTAATGGATGATTCTTCAAAAAACTGGAATGGAAAGGTTCTTTTCGGAACCAGTATTGGTTCTTCTATGGCAGGAGTGTCCTGTCATTTCCATGAAGGGCTGTTGTGGATACGGATTTTCATTCCAAACAAGCCAGAGCTCACCTGATTCTGCTTGTTTAATCAGTTAGTCTCAGTCTCAGACAACTGATCATGTGTTCTCCTGTACTGTGTAGTCTCATTGCGGGAAGAAAATGTAATCACCTTGATCTAGGACGCTCATGTTACATACTGTGGCAGTTTGCAATACTTTTAGTTTGTATTTGCTCATAAAAAGAAATGTGCTGTTTTATGTTCATTACATGCTCATGAGCTGCATTTAGTTAATATTTATTGCGTTATATTTAGCTGATATTATTTATTATTGTCACCCATATTTTGCTTCTCTTGCTCAGTGCATCACACTTGTGTATTGCTTGATGATTTATTTTGGACGTTGATGCTATAAGCAGGCCAACACTAGCTCTGGAGGAGATTACTCATGTTATCAACAAGTAAAGACGTTTTTAAAAGGCTAAACTTTTTTGTTTTGCCTGAGCTCTGAAAAATATTTTGGATTCTTGTCCCAAGGTTTCTCTCTGGATTCTGGCCACAGCATTACTGAGAAGGGCAAACTGATTGTGGTGTCTGGAGCTCCGAGAGCCAATCACAGTGGAGCGGTAATCCTGCTGAGGAAAGAGGGGGAGGTGTCCACCATGCTGTCCCCAGAACATATTCTTGAAGGACCGGGACTTGCCTCCTCTTTTGGATATGATGTAGCAGTGGTGGATCTGAATGGAGATGGGTATGGCAAATAGCTGGAGTTATTTTTATATTCTTCAGACTTCGGACAAGAATGTTTTAAAACTAGCTCCAGCAAACTGTTCATACATCTGATCAGAAGAACTGTTCTCTTGTAACTTAAACATGACAAGCTGTTCCAGGCTTGAACCACGTAGAACTTTTATATATGTTTGTGAACAATAAACATTAGTTTGAGTGTTGGTGAGATGTCATTGTGTGTATGTGTGAATGCTCCTCCAGGTGGCAGGACATTGTGGTGGGAGCACCTCAGTTCTTCCAGAGAGATGGTGAGGTGGGGGGAGCAGTGTACGTCTACATTAACAAAGCTGGAAAGTGGAGGAGCGTGGTGCCTGTCCGCCTCAATGGAACTAAAGACTCAATGTTTGGACTGGCAGTGGAGAATATAGGAGACATCAATCTGGATTCATATGAAGGTGGAGCTCATAGATTCTTAGTGATTTTGGGTGGGATGGGTGTGGGTGTGTAACACAGAGAGAGAGAGAGAGAGAGAGAGAGAGAGATTGCCAAGAAAATGTTTAAGAGTTTATACTCTTTTCTTTTTTTGTTGGTAGCTGCATGGCATACATATTAACATATAGTGTGAATTAGGAGGTGTATGGTGAATACAAATGCATGTGGTTACAGTACTGTACTGTGCATATAGTACTAAGCAAAAGTCAGAACCCACCCTTCATTTATATAATTTCCAATTAAAACAGATATTAAGTACAAGTTAATTTTTCAACATCAGGAAAAAAATAGCAGAAAACATATATACAACAGAAAATTACAATGTAGCCTCAACAACTAAATATAATATCACCCTTTTTGTGTTTAGTGTGTTCACACTTTGCCTTTATTACAGCTTCTGTTTTTTTTCTGGAGGTGTGTTTTTCAGTTTTTCAAAGAAATCTGCGGCAATATTTTTTCACACCTCTAAAGTTCGGTCTTAGAAGCAGAAAATGCAATGTTGATATCTGGTATCTGGGATGGACAGTCCACTGGTTCAGAGAACACCAGCAGCTTCTTTGTTTGGTTTGCACATTTTCTTATTTTTCTTCCCTTTTATTAGTCATCGCTTCTTGAGAGCTACACATCGTTTTAGACCTATAGCATTGAGTTGTGTTCTCACAGTGGAAGGATGGACAGAAACACATTTTTTCATATTTTTTTCAAGAGTGGAGCTAGATGTTTTGCCTCTCAAAGATGAAGGCTTTAAGTACTGTTTATCTGATGGTGACAGTTTTGGTGGTCTGTCAGGTCTTGCATGGTTGTTAGGAGTCCCATTTTCTCTTTTATTACATTTTAACTCTTTGGATATGTTTTTGAACCAGTTTTGGAAACTCCTTTTTTACTTATTTTCATTTGACATTCTTCTTCCTTTTGTAAGTGGATTATCTTATATCTTATCTCCTTAGAAATATCTCTTTAAAAAAGCAAAACAACTTGTACTTAATGACTGTTTTGAGTGGAATTAAACAATGAATTTTCCACAATACTGTATGTTTCTGTATCTACTTTATCTTTGAATGTATTGCATTTTTATGCTTTTAAATCAGTTCGTATTTATTTATATCAGTTCATATTTATGTGCTAGTTTGTATTTTTGTGATAATCCTCATTCTCTCTGGCAGATATTGCAGTAGGTGCTCCTTATGCAGATGAAGGTTCAGGTAGAGTGTACATCTATCATGGATCTGTGGATGGCATTAACACCAAACCTGTCCAGGTCAGGAAATGCTCACTGTTGCCTTCTCTCTCTCTCTCTCTCTCTCGTTCCATCTCTCTCTCGCTCCATCTCTACATCTCTCTCCAAATCTGTAACCTTTCGATCTCCTTGTCTCTCTGTATTCTGCTGTGTATGGGCTTTTGTAATGGATAACAGCCTTGAGAGCAAAACACCATTACTATGATAAAGGGCAGGGAGATGGACAATCTTGGGCAATTTTGGGCAATTTTGCAACAGACTACAAAGGTACTTGAAGGCCCATACCACCATTTTCTAAAATTCACTAATGATGTATTCCATAAGGGTACTCTCTGTCTAGAGAGTAAAGTTATACATTTTGTCTTTTATAATCAGTGCATTGTAAATGCTGCTCTGCCCCTCCGCACTGATGTGTTTTTACCTTTCTCAGATTCTGGAAGGGAGGCACCATGGCATTAAGATGTTTGGCTACTCATTGGCTGGGAATATGGATTTGGATGAGAATGCTTACCCAGATCTAGCTGTTGGATCTCTGTCTGATGCAGTAATTGTTTACAGGTATTCATATAGTCTTCATTTCAGTGATTGACTTCTTCTCACCTATGAAATTGTAATTGAATTAATTTCCATGAAAATTTAGGGCCAGACCTGTCATCAGCATAAAGAAAGAAATCAAGGCTACACCAAGGGAAATTGACCTGACAAAGAAAACGTGTGGCAACAGTATTTGGTAAGATATTCTTACTTATGTTTGAAGTTATTAGGAATTAAATGAAGTATAAGAATGAAATGTATTTAATATGAATCACAAAGTTGTCTTTCAGTTATTACTTTTTCTTTTAAAGAAATGTATTTTTAGTGTGTATTTCTCATTAGTATTTTTATTTACAGCTTGAATGTTGAAGCTTGCTTTACCTACAAAGCAAATCCTGCCACTTACAATCCAAAATTGAGTATGTATTACACTTCCATTTAGAATTATAATTTGTAATCTGAAAATCTATAAATACTGAATTTCACAATATACCAACAAATACACATTTACATAATTCTTCACTGTAAAGGTTTAATGTCAGCTGTTATTTTGAAATGCCCATGTAATCCCGAAATTCACTACATTATTTCGTAAGGCCCACAGTGAAGCACAAATGTAATGTTTGTCCCTGGCAGTGATTTCCTACACATTGGAGACAGAGTCACACCGCAGGAAGCAAGGTTTGCCCTCTAGAGTGTCCTTCCTGGATAAAACGCCAACTGATCAGGACTTCCAGTCTACAGGCACGCTGGAGCTGAGAGGCCAGAACAAGAGAGCCTGCTATAAAGCCAAACTCCGACTACAGGTGCGTACTTGTCTCTTCTTTACCAATTGTCACAGGAGAACTGTGATTATTCAGCCAGGTTGTTAAAGAGCCTTGATCATGATATAGTGTATAATAGGTATTCTGATATAAGTATGAAATGTAGTAGTATGTGTTCTTAAATATATTAAAAAATAGAATGTATTGTTATATATTTTATTGTTATCCCATTTTATTTGGATATCCCCCCTATAGCTTATGTACAGATGTTCAAATTATTAGCAAACTATCTTTATTAACAAACAACTAAGGTTGGGGTAGTATTATTTATTTATTTCTTAATAAGTAAATAAGTAGTATTATTTAACTTTATTTCAATTGGTTGAAACATCCTTTCTCAGGAGAACATAAAGGATAAACTGAGAGCAATCCCTATCGAAGTATCTGTGGCCATCGAGAGCGCTAAGAGAGGGAAGAGACAGAACTCACTGCCAGAGCTGGTGCCAGTGCTGGACTCCAGTCTGCCCAGTAAGATCAGCACTGAGGTAAACACACAGAGCAGCTACCGAATGGCTTTAAGCACTAACAGCTTAATTTAATGCTGAAGGCCTGCATAATTGTCTCTCTGCTATATTCATTCAATCCCAGTGAATAATTTCTTATAACAACGCTATGACTCAACACAATAGATGTATAAATGGGAGAATGTATTAAGGAGTGTATAATCTAATTATCATTTGCTCTTGTAGGTAAACTTCCTAAAGGAGGGGTGTGGGACTGACAACATCTGTCAGAGTAACCTGCAGCTCCAGTACAGATTCTGTTACAGAGCATCCAACCAGGACATCTTTCCTCCATTACCTGTGTGAGTTCCAATGCAACAGAGAGATATATTAAGACAAATTCTCATCAAAGATGAGATTTAGAGTGAAAACATTAAGCACATACAGCAGCTCTCTGTATGTCTCTGAGCTCTGTTCAGATAGATGCCCAAGGCCATTGTTGTGTGTTTTGTTGTCTCTAACAGGAAGAATGGTGTCGCGGTGGTATCTCTGAGTGACCAGAAGGACATCGCTCTGGAGGTCACTGTGAAGAACAGGAATGGAGATGATGCTCATGAAGCCAAACTAGTGGGACTGTTTGGTGATTTGCTGTCATATTCTGGATTCAGATCCCATAGAACCACAGTGAGTAGGAAACAATGTTAAACCAACTATTTGATTTGTACATTAAACAGTTTATAATAGAAAAATGGAACAAAAAAAAAACACTGACAAAGTAATGCTTTCAATTTACTTTGGAAACAATAATTCATTAATTACTCTGTTTACTTTTTTTATTTGTTTATTTACTCATTCATGTATTCATTAGGACAAGCAGGTGATCTGTGCAGCCAATCAGAATGGCTCTCAAGCAGACTGTGAACTGGGAAACCCCTTCAAAAGAAACTCTGAGGTACACTCTTTTACTCAGGAATAAATTACATAGCACAGTTTTTTTTTGTGCTGTAACTTTATTATATTTTTAGGTCACCTTTTACATCATACTGAGCACTGCCAAGATCTCTCTCAGCACCACAGAAGTTGAAGTTGATCTCCAGTTGGAAACGTGAGTTGTTGAATGTTGTAATAATCATAATATATTTTAGCTTAGCGATGAATGTTTCCCTATTTTTTGTTAGCAAAAAGCCTCTAGAGTAATTTATTTTAAATGTATTTTCCTCAACAGAACGAGTCTGCAGGAGGGTTTGGGTAAAGTACGAGCTAAAGCTAAAGTTATGATCGAGCTTCTGCTGTCTGTGCAAGGGTATGAATCATCAACTATCACTCTACATAAAAGTTGATAACTACCTTACAATGCATAAAGTGGATATATTTTATTTTTTTCTAACTCCTACTGTGCATCAGGGTTGCCAAGCCCTCTCAGGTGTATTTTGGAGGGGATGTTAGAGGAGAGAGTGCCATGAAGTCAGAGGAGGAAGCTGGCAGTTTGATTGAATATGAATTCAGGGTAAATTTCACTGTTCTCTTCGTAACAAAGTGTATGTTCTTTAATCCACCTGTTACTCAGTCAGTCTGGATACAGCTGTTGTGTAAATATAGAGAAATCTAAATATTACACAGTAAAATACTCTCTATAAAAATTTAATGCTTGTACTTCAGGTAATAAATTTGGGCAAGCCACTGAAATCGTTTGGCACAGCCTTTCTCAACATCCAGTGGCCTAAAGAAAGTGCTGTGGGGAAGTGGCTCCTGTACCTGGTGAAGATCAGCTCTAAAGAGCTGGAGGAGATCACCTGTTCACCTGAGTCTGAGATCAACCCTCTGGGCCTAACTGAGGTACACTGTCCTTGGTATTCTCCCAGGGCTCGTCTCTTACATAGTAAAATCACTAATGGGAAACCATGACTATTAGAGCTACACATCACTTCTGGACAAAAACATGAAAAATCAGTAAAAAAAAACATCTGCAATAATGGTAATTTCTGATAGCATCTCTGTGGAATTCTAGTAGTTTAGCACTAAGCTAATGCTGATTTGCAGGGACATTTTTGACAATTCTAGTTTAAACACAGAAATTTGATGCTTTTAAAAGACATTCCATTCACCTGAAGCTTTTAACAGAACTATTAGCATATATTTGATCTTGTAGGTCTTTCACAGTGATTTTTTCAGAGCCCTGGTAAAGCACTACCACCACTGTTTTCCATGTCTAACAACCCACTGATTAGGCTGTCGCTCATATTCAAAGTCAGTGACACATCTAGGACTTCTAGAAGGCATAGATTGATGGTTTTTCTTACAAAATTGGTCTTTGATTTCCTATAGGAAATCAAAATGTAATTGGTTGATTTCTCTGTCATCCTGTAATTATACTAATGCTTAATCTAATATGTTAGACCTTCTCTTCAGCTCTTGAAGTCCTAACGAATACAGGAGCTCACTTAGCTATACCTAGATATCTTGGAGAAAAACATTTAGGCGTTTAAAAAATTTCACCTTTTTGTTTTTAGGCAAAACTTAACAATGAAACAAAAGTAGTGCTGTAACACAGAGTTTAAATACAAGCATGAATCCATTGCATAAAAATGGTCATTTCTTTTGGTCCATTCATGAACTTCACCCACAATGTAAAGGACAACAGGCATTTTCAAATTATGTCAAAAACTGAAAAATGACAAACACGGAGATACGAGGTTTTGTTTGATAACTGCAATTTCTTTTTAGTTTTCAGAAATCATTATGCCTTCTCTGAAGGCTTAGAATGCTGAATTGTGTCCAACTGGGCTCAAAGGTGGGGTTGCTTTGGTGAAAGTTAGCTGAAGCTAGCTGTTTTGAAAATCAACAGCCAAACAAATGTAGCCCTTCAGTGTTCAATCCAAACCTCACCCTCAAAACACATGTGAACCACATAGGCTAGAAAGCCTGGATATGTGTGCACACTTAGTTGTAAACAAACGGTGCTCTACCATCATTTCTTAAAAGAACTAACCAGCTGTCACAAGTCTTAACAGAACTCATGTTTGTAGCTCACTAGCTATAAGATTACAGTATGCTACGGATCCACGCTGTGGGCTGTGGATGCACAACCTAGGGCACCTACAGAAACTGGATTTTTTCTGCTGTATATTTTATGGAGAGCTGCACTGTAAGAGAAAATTAGGACTTAAAACTACTAAATAAAATGACCTTCAGTATGATTAATGCACAGCTTCTGAAAATTCAGGTTATTATTTCAGTCGAGCACTACCTCACTTGATTGTTTAATAAACACATCTGAGCTAAACTCTTCTCAGTGAAGTCATAGATACATTTTTTCATGATACCAAAGTTACCTCACTATTTACGTTTTCATACTCTGTTCTTTCAGGGGTCGACGTTGTCCAGGCAGAAGCGTGAGATAGAGGAAAGTAGACTATCTGAGGGAAACAAAATATCTCTTTTTACAGAACGAAGGAAATACAAATCACTGGTAAATTAATTGATATTCTTATTATAAGTTCTTCTCCCTGTAGTGGTAATAATCTTGAAGATCTGTTTAACCATTTTGAATGCATTTTTTAAGTCATGTTTTGGGGAAGCAAGATGTGTGGAGATCAAGTGCCCTCTGCTGAACCTGGACAGTAGTGCAGACATTATACTGAGGTCACGCCTTTGGAACTCTACTTTTCTTGAAGTAAGTGCAATGATATTTATTATAATATATCTAAAACACATTTGTGTAATGCTCACATAGATTGATGTACTACCTCTGAAAAGTTCTTTTTTTTAAAAAACAGGATTATGCCACCTATAATTATCTTGATTTGATAGTGAAAGCATCTATCAGTCTTGATGTTTCTGCCAAGAACATTGTGCTGAAAAATCCTGAGACACAGGTAACATTTACTTATTTTTGTCATATGACTAGAGTTATATTGATTCTAATAAATCAAAAACTGGAAAAAAGATAAACAGCTTGATAAGACAAAGGGTACTTTATATATCCAAAAGTATGCAGACACCTTCTTATCAGTGAATCTAGCTACTTTAAGGTACACACATTGCTGAAACATGCATTCAGTTGCATACACATAGCTTGTATAATCTTCATAGAAAAGCATTGCAAATAGAACATGACACTCTGGAGCACATGAGCCTAAATTCACCATGCCCGGTGCCAAGCATCAGCTAGTGGGGTATTAGCGCCTCTAGCATTGGGCTGTGGGGCAGTGGAACTGTGTTCTCTGGAGTGATGGAGCTTCATCCAATACCTTTGGGACATGTTGCAGTGGAGTTGTGATCCAGAACTAATCATCCATTATCAGTACCTGACTAATGCTTTTGTGGCTGAATGCAATTAAATCCTCACAGCAAAGTGTAAAGCTTTCTCAGAAGGTTAGAGGCCACCACTGCAGCAAAGAGGCAAAACTTCCTTTTAATACTTTTGATTTCAAAAGAAATTTTGGATGAGCAGGTGTCTACAAACTTTTGGACAGGTTGCTTTCCCAGACCGGGATTAAGCCTAGTGTTGGACTACACAGCATTCTGAACAAAGATTCTCAGTTGAAAGGAAAATGTAGTCCAGGACTAGGCTGAATCCCTGTCTCAGAACCCATAGTGTATCAGCTGAAGATTTCTTTTTTAACTGGAGCATAAACCCTCCTACCAATGGTTAATATGTTCCTTTTTCTTCACTGAAGGTGAGATTGACTGTGTTTCCTGAATATACTGTGTCTCACTATGGTGGGGTTCCATGGTGGATAATCCTGGTGGCTGTACTAGCAGGCATACTGATGCTGGCTCTATTAGTTCTTATACTTTGGAAGGTAAGCCTAAGAGACTAGATTAGCAGATGATCATAGTGCTTTTAAGGTCACATTTTCCCTTTTTTTTGTTATCTACACTACCTTTCAAAAAGTTTGGAATCAGTTCCCATATTAACCATTTTCATTTGCTTATATCATTAAACTTCACAGGAGAAGGCAAAAAAACTTATTTAAAAAAACTAAACAAAAAACTTAGCTTTACTGTAAATAAGTGTAATGAGTAGTTTTGAAGCACTTTGGTTCATTCATCATTAAATTTTGGCATGATGTAAAGCACAGCTGCTATGCTCAAATGATGCAGAATAATAACCAAAAATGTAAACACATATATATATTTATCATTTTTTGGACAGCAATAAAACACAATAAAAACGTACACCGTGTAGATTTAAATGATTTTTCAGATGTTTTATTTAATATTTCAAGAATTCTGTGGACAAGAAGTAATTAATTAATATGCACTCATTTGATTGTATGAAAATTGTTTAGCAGGTTATCTGCTTTAAGATATCATCTGACTTTTGAAATATGATGAATTCTGGATATTTGTTTTATTATATCTTTATGCTCAGTGTTACATGGCTAATAATTATTTGAAATCTGTGAAGTTTCACCCGACAAACATATGGCGATAATTTTGCACACCTGTCTGCTACCAAAATGCTGTTATATTGTTGAAAACATTGATTCCAAACTTTTGAACAGCTATTCCAAACTTTTGATAGTTATGTATATTCCAGATATTGATTACTATTCATTAAATTATGTGAAATCCTTTTGTGTTTCCAACAAGATGCATATTCTCCACAGCCCTCAATAGTTGGAATATTATAGTTTTATGACAGCAAGCGTTTATATGTATCTCAGCTGTATTGTGGAAAACTTTGTACAAATTGTTGTTTGCAATGATGAACCACCTTGCTCCTTCCGTAGTGTGGTTTCTTCAAGCGTGCCCAAAAAGACCAATATGATGCAGCGTATCACAAAGCTGAGATCCATGCTCAGCCCTCAGACAAAGACAAGCTCTCCACAGAGGCCTAGAGGCCTTTCCTGGGTAAAATATACAAGCGCACAGGAGTGCCTCAGTCTGCAGTGGCATAAAGCTTTAACAATCACTAACGCACTTTTTTTGCTTTGCCAAAAAAAAAGAAAGAAAGAACAAAGAGCTTTCTTGTGAACAGTGTGCCTCGCTTGTCAATGCTGTGTGGAGTTCAGAATATAAATGTGTAATGATTTTGCACGTGCTCCATTTGTTGCTTTTCCTCTTTCTCCTGCAGTCCTCTAACTTGTCTTTCTTTCCTTTGTTTTTCCCATGTGTTTAAGGATGTTCCTTTACCAGTTTGACTCTTCTGAATGCTTTCAAGCATGCTCTGTGCACTCCCCAGATTTGTGTTTCAAACCTTCAGCTGCAAAAGAACTGTACTTCAAACATTTTTTCAATTCATCAAATGTCTGAATTATGCTAAACTGACTTCTTGTGTGCTCTTTCCATCAGTGTGGATTTTTCAAACGTTCCAAGAATGATGACAGCGTTCCTAAGTACCATGCTGTGAGGATCCGGAAGGAGACGCGTCACTTTAAAGACGATAACGTCATGTTTGATCCCTTTGAGAAAAAGCAGTGGATGACTACGTGGAGTGAGAATGAGAGTTACTCCTGAGACTTTGACCCCACTGGTGTGAGAGATTATACGACCATCCGGTGTCCAGTAAAGACTCAGGGGCTTGGATTCAGGACTTTATTCAGGACTTCTCTGTGTGGTCAAACTGAAGAAACAAGTAGCAATAGACTCTTGCTGGATTTGAACACAATGATGTTGCCATGTCCAAAAAGACCATACAAACAGCAAGTGCAAATCAAGGATATGTATATTTTTTTGCCTGAAAAGTCTTTGCTTATGGACTCATCTTTACTTACTGTTTTTGTATACTTTTGGATGATTCCTGAAATACTGAGATTGAACTGAGTATGTTTTTATTCTGTAAATATTGACATTCTTACAAATTGTTTATTTATTTTCTTTCTTGCTGAATTAGCCAAAGATTTTACAAATTCTTCCAAAAACTGTGAAATGAGTTTAAAGCAAGTGTCACAAGCAGATCAGATTCTGAGTATAGAAGTAAGTGGACAAATGCACAATGAAAGATGATGGAAATTCTTCACTCTGATAAAAATGAAACATTAGTCATACCTGAAATATTGGCTCTACGATAGAGTTTTAATTTCAGGAGACTCAGTAGCCTGGATATTTATATGGGTGTTTCTGTGCTAGAAAGTGGCTAATTCAGTTCATGATGACATAAAGGGAAATTCCATTTTTCAAAATTTCTGCTAAGTAAGTAATTAAGATGTAAACAAAGTCATTCAGAGTGGTTTGACGTGAAATGGCTCACTGTATACAAACTTATCAACTCAGACTTTCTTTACAGTGCTGGTGATAGGAACCAGGAGTCTTAGTGTCTATAATATGTGGCCTTTTTATGTGCTATCCAAAAAGATCAGTGTACCTACACATCTCATTTTATATATAATGTTGATAATGGTAAAATAGTGCTAAAACTCCAAAATGAGTTTTTCTTTCTATACAACACTCTGCCTGCATTTCTGTGCCTCTTTCTGTATTTTAAAAAATACGCTTTAGTACTAAACCTTATCTCAAAACTATTGTAAAACAATGTCTTCAGCATCAATATATATTTGTACTCACTTCATGTAATAATTTCTGTGAGGTAGCTTTTAGAGAGCTTACACGCTTCATCTGGTTCATATCACTACCACTTTAAAGAAATGTGAGTAGGTAGTTGGATAAAGAATAGAATCAGAGCAGGGGCAGTTGTGCAGACTCTATCTGTGGACTAGGAGTGAGGAACACTGCTAAACTGTATAACATGTCTATGAATGAGAATGAAAACAGTAAGTACAAAGTACTTTAGTGTAGAGGTGTAGTTCTATCCATTGAGGATTGCAATGACTAAGTCTGTGTTTTTCCATGACATTCTGATTTCACTAATAAGCCCAAACCAGTCCACATTTCACCTTGGATTTTAGCAGCTGAAACAGAATGAAATTAAGAACTGACTTGGGGTCAGTGATGGCTGTGGTAAATACCTCTGAAAACAGTCTGTATGCATTTTTAAGCAGCCTTCTATAATAACTCAATATTTGTGGGTTAGTACGCTAAATTAATTGTACTAGATTTAAAGTAACATTCCATTCTTTGTTTTAAATATTTGCATACATACACACATATGTATACGGCCCTTCTGACAGAACAGTGGTCATTTATGAAGGGTGCCACTAGAAACATGGCACAGTTGCACACAGTACAGGTTATTAGTCACCAGTAGTGGAGGCATAAAAATTGAGTTGCAACTTAAAACTGACTGTAAAAAAAAAGTTTAATAGGCCCATATTCTACATTTTACTTCTTTTCTTGGAGATCCACTTGAGCTTTGTTGTGTGGGTTTTTGTACCAAAAACAGTTGAAACTGATTTTAACAGGCTTTTTTTGTTACTATGCCCTTTAACACTGATATATGTAAATAATCTCTATTCAGAGTGGCTGCACTGTATTGCACCTCATTTAAAAAAGCAGCCTGGGCTGAAACAGTCCTTGTAACTTTAGTGTGAATGGGCGGGGATAAATTGCTGTTGGCATGACATCACAAAAAACAAATTGAACAAAATGCTCTTGCAGCTTAATTTTCTCATATGGACTGTATGAACTGGGGCATGACCGGTGTATTTCAAAACTTTAACAATGTTTACATACTGCATCAAAATATTTTGTGTCCAAAAAAGGTCAGGAAAATTAGTTTTTCCTTTTTTGATGTACTTAATAAATTGGCCACTGAATGTAATATTTTAGGTCTTGCACTGTGATAGATGTGCATGAAAAATGTAGTAGCTTTGAAAGTACAATAAAAACTCCTGCAATGCTTTGACATTATGAGATCAACATGTTTACGGCAGGACTCCAACTACATGTTTCATGTAACCTGTTTTTGTATGGATGTCTACTTTGATGCACCTTTTGTGTAAGAAATCTGTTGTTTTGCTGAGGAACAGAAATGTGGCTTAATAAAACTGAAGATTAAGTGCAAAAAACAGCTGCCAACTGTTTTGTTAGTAAAAAGAAAAGTGGTGACAGACGGAAATTACAGAATATTTTATTGATCTTGGAAAATCATAAAAATATAGCAAATAACTCTCTAAACAATACTGATTTTCTTGTATGATTATGTAATACAAGGTCATTCACATGAAGGTCTGGATATACTGCACATATTTGGATGCGGTTTTGAGCAGAAAGACTCTGACAGAATCAATGTTTTCATTCCTTCATAAAGCAAAGCATGTCAGCAATCCAGCATTTAAAAACATGGATCTGCCAAGACAGTAAAAAAGCACATATCTTGCTTGCTGCAGTATACAGCTGCTGCACATAATCAGATTCTAAGTCTAAGCCTAAGTGTTTTTAGGCCTCAACTTGTGCAAAAGTCCCCTTTCCCCAAAAACAATCACAACGCTCTAACAGACACAAAACTAACCAACAAAAATGTAAACACTTCAAAATCTCAGAACATTTTTCACAACCAAAAATAATCTTTTGGGACAATGTACTATTGTAAAGATATACTTTTCCAGTTATTGAATATATTGTAACTGTTGTAGAACTATTAACTATAGTAAAATGATGTTAGTGCAATTTCGTAAGTGGATATTGGCAAAAAGTAATAATACAACAAGAACATGTTTTAATAACTTCGCTAAAATTGAATAGTGCTCAGTTTGAACTATAATGTTCCATTTGGAATTTGGAATGTCAGCATAGATGTATCAACCACAGGAAGGTGACAAGTTTAAAAGGAACCATGAAGGCATTCTTGTGAGGAAATGTGCACTGACCACTGTATTATCCCTTTCATCCCTTTAAAAAAAAAAGTATAAAAAATAACCCTTACAAAAGTATGACATTCAAAACTTCTCCCTCTGAAAAATACGTTTAACATTGGTAACAGTGTAAAATTAGCCTTAGAATAAAACGCTTCTGTTAAAAAATAATCTTGGACTTTATGTTTGAAGGAAGATCAAGTGTTTTCTGGCTTGCTTTAAAATTATGAGCTCAGCAGATAGACACTTCCTCCTACATTACCTCTTTTATACTGCTGATCCTGAATCTTACATTTTGCCATTTCTTCCGTGAGCCTCACTGCTGGGCTCTGTGTCTGGTCTCTCGGACATGGCTGTGCTCGCTTTGGTGCCTGCTGGTGTTGGCTCCCTGCTGTGCTGTGAGCGGAGGACCTGCTCACTGGGTCTCTTCCATGAAGGACGGGTGGCGATCCAGAGAATAAGTCCCCCAAACACGCTTATCAGTAAGCCAAGGACATTAACAAATGTGGCTTCTTCAGGAGAATCTTTATATGCCAGACCTTTCCTATAAGAACAAGACAAAAGAAGACCTGTTACATGTGTTTTATGCATCTTGTTACGGAATAGAAATTCGACACGTAACATTTGATTCGATAAAACCTGTAAAAACTGCCGAAGCTATGTTTGGAAATATTACAGCACTTCAGCTTGATATGACTGGTGTTACTGAGTTTGACCACAGTGGTGCTTATAAGAAACAAGACACAAAGTACGGGTTTCAGAAGACACGCTTTGCATGATAAAGCACATTCAGCATTTACCCCCTGAGCAGTCAAAACCTATAATCCTGCATACTTACAGGGCAAATATGAGCTTCTCAGTAATGCCCATGAGAGCAGCAGCAATCACACTGGTAAAGATAAACAGGCCACTGTACACATGTATAGGCATAAATACAGCTCGCAAGTGTACTGGGCTTACGGGAAGGAGGTAGATGCCAATGCCCAGTACAATCTGTTCAATTACAGAGAAAGAAAGAAGAATAAAAACAACTAGTCTGCTTAAGCAATACACACAGAAATGAGTACATATTTGAATTCTTATTGACCTGTGAAAAAGGTGTGAATCTTACCTGTAGTGAGTACAGAATGATTGCAGTTAACCCTACCCAACTGTGCAGGCTGTACATGTTGGGAATGTTCTTTGTGTTATGAAAGTCAAACACTGCTACCAGAGAAATAGCAGCCAGGATGAAGGCCAGCACATTCAGGCCTGCATGAATGAACTTCATCATCAACTTACTGCACTTCCACGTCCATGGGAGCCTGTACACAACAATTGCTGGAGTAAAAAGAAAAAGATCACTTGGACGTGTATCTGGTTTCTGTTAGAGCGAAACACTTCTTTATGCCATTACAGACCTGACTCTTGATAAAAATCTTCCTCTACAGTAAATACATATGTACACATTTTTACATATTTGTCACAGTCTCTGTTAAACACTGTGCAAAGTAGCCCATCTCTTGGATAAAACACCTTGTGGTATAATGCCCCAAACTATATACTGACCTTTCTTTAGCTTACATGGTTAACTTCTAACATTACACTCTTTAAACTGGCCTGTCAATGCCCATGAAATGGGGTACAAACCCCCTTAAGAACAATGGGCCTCATTCACCAATATCAAGTTTTTTTCTTAAATTTGTCTTTAAGAAAGGTCAGATTCATGACGTGTTCTTAAACTGCAGAACTGTTTGCACCTTTGTGCTCTTGGGTGTGTAGATTCTGTTCTTTGCTAAGAACAAATCCCAAATTAAGAAAACACTGGTGAATGTCAGAATCATTGTGAAAAAGTGGGTTTTAAGAAGAAATTTCTTCTTATCAACGGTTGGTGAATGAGGCCCAATACCCATTTAATGGTCCTGTAAAATTATACCACATTTGTATATGAGTTTAGCAGAAAGACAAAAGGCATCTTCCATCAACTGACATCTGATTTTTACAGCATGTAAACAAAGCAATAACATTACACATATAACTAATTATTCAAAAGCACAGATGACTAGTGGACGTGACCTTACATATTAAGTGTAAATATGACTGGCTAAAAAACTTCCATACGAACTCCTCTCCAGCAAGATCGGTAATCTCACTCAATTTTGGCTAGCTAGCAATGCTAAAGGATCGCCTGCATCATTTATGCCCGCTACTGTATATGTGCAAATGCTAGTTCATCTGTAAACTACAGTTATCCACCGGGTTCATCATGATGATTAAATACTGATGACATATGCTGGGTCTGAAATGGTCCCCATATCACTGTAGGACACTACCATAGTGAACAGAATTTGTGCTGGTAGCCGATTTCAGACACTAAGGTTATACAGGTTTGCTCATTACTCACAAACAATGCATTGCATTGTGCATTATGGGTATTACCTATCCTAGGGTACACTAGTTGTACAGTACTAATTGCAGTGCACTGTGGGATTGAGTGTGCTGGATATTCTGCACTATATTTTCAGAGAACCTTACAAAATGGCCAAACCCCAAAATAGTGCACTATAGTGAACAGGACAGAGTTTTGGACACAGCTTAAGCCTAACTAAATACTATTTTGGGACAGTATGTGTGGGCCTTTTGTCTGAAACAACTGAGTTTTATAATTTCACTTCTAAAGGAAAAACCATGTCCTGCCCCCACCCATATATTTTTAAAGGTTCCAGGCAAACAGTTCCCAGGAATGCAGCCACCCAGATGAAAATCCAACATTAGCCAAAGCTCAGACCTTCAGTTGTGGTTGTAGGAGACTGACTGGTCCAATCATTTGATCAGGAGAGAAAAGAAGGACGTCTTAACCGGGAGAGCGTCTTATCACCCATTTAAATCTAATCATCCTAAATGTGATGTTTCTGCGTTTTAAAATCTAAACAACACTAGACCCCAGTCATTCTGTTCAACCAGTGTGTCCTTCTTTTAACATAACAGTCGTGCAGAAAATGTAAAACTTAACAAACGCCTTTACATCAACTATCGTCATAAGAGTTTCTTGCGAGGTCACGTGATCTGGAGTTGGTCAAGTTGCTATTTCTCCACTGGACTCTGTGCTGTTCTGTGTAAAATCTCAGGAATTTGAACACAGTTGCTACACGGTAGTAAACTCGTAAACCCGTTCTTGGCTATTTCTCACAAAATCGTGTGTCGCTGAAAATTACAGAACACAAAAGGGTTGCACGCCATTACACAAGTTACCAACCAAACTTCTTACCAATTCCTTGCAGAAAAATAAAGCCGATCACAACCAAAAGAGGATGCCAGTTGAACTCGGCCTCTTTTCCATCCCATCCAAGCCCCTCACGGAAGTGCAGAACCCATCTGAGGACGAAAACTACAGAGACGAAGCCCACCGCAAAGGCGAAAATCAGCAGAGCGAGGAACAGCCTGTAGTTCTCCATTGCTGGTGTGTCACCGTTATGAGGAAAAACACTATAGTGAGCTCACTGGAGGAATTCCGAGAGGTCAGTTCGGGGGCTGGCTCATTCTCAAGCTGCTCTCAAAACCAACTTCGTCTGTCTTTTTTTCCCCCTTTCCTTTTTTTTTTTTAGCCAGTCACCGTTTTGTAACTTGCCACATCCACCGCCGTTACGCAAGGGATAATGGCGAAATTCACCATCACATTGAACGGTGTTGACTACGTTTACACGGGGGTTTCGGGCTTTTATTATTGTTATTAAAGATACTTGAAAGCTTTTTGAGCGCAATAGCTGAAGACTACACGCTGGTGTTTTATTGTGTTCACCACAGAAAACCTGACGTCACTGAGAACCAGTCGAGATTTAAAGAGGAAATGACATTAACAGCCCACTTTCACATCAACAGAAATCATACTTTAATTCCGTCTCTTGGTTTTATTCAAACATTGAAACTTTGGTCTTTTAAACATGGTAAAAAAAAACAAACAACCCATTATTATTAGCTTTAACATCCTATTACAAACTATTTTCCTGCTGAAATGTGAGTACTTTAAAAGTCTAGATGAATTATACATATTTGGCAGTGTCATCTTAAGTTCTTCCTTCGGTTCATCTTGTAAACATGGCAGCTAAAGTTGTTGTTTCTCTCTTGTTCAATGTGGATGACTGTGTCTCTGTCAAAGTAGATTTCATGACTGTAGGTCTGAAAGAAAGAAATACTTATTTGTAAAAATTGCTCTCGAAAAAAAGGAACCAACTGTAAAATCTTGTTTAAAAGATGAGGTATACTCACCACATCCCACGGTTCCTCAAGGGCAATTCTCTTCATTAATACTCCACTTTTGTTATCATGGAGTCGAACACTGGCCTGTCCCACACCCTCCTCTGTGGGACTCACATCCACAATAGCCAAGAGATCCAGCTCATCCTCATACTTAGCCATCTTAAATGTCTGCAAACCATCAAAGGAAGTACAATTGTATATAATGAATATACACATTCATCTGCTGTATAGTTTGTTATCTCCAGTTCCTTACTTTAATATACAAACTTCAACTCCAATAAAGTTGGGACAGTATGTGAACTGCAAATTAAAAACAAAGCAGTGATTTGCAAATCTATTTTGACATGTATTTAAATGAAAACAGTACAAAAACAAGTTATGTAATATTTTAACTTATCAGCTTTCTTGTCTGTGTAAATATATGCTCATTCTGAAGTTGATGCCTGCAACACATTGCAAAAAAGTCAGGACAGGAGCAATCTGTGACTAGGAACATTGCGAAATGTTCAAAGAAACATCCTAAACAGATGGGTATAAAGATAATCCAATTAAAGCCTAGTTCTTTATGAGCAAGGATTGGTCAAGGAACAACACTGCAACAAAAGTGTGTCAGCAAACAATCTAACAGTTGAAAAACTTATTACTTGTTACTTAATGCCATGGTTTGAAGGTACATTAGGGCCTGATGTGTGGGCAGCACATCTGTGAAGGGACCATTAAAGATGAAAAGGTATATACACATTCTGGAGTAACATATGGTGCCTTCTAGATGCATCTTTTGCAGGGATGTATATGCTCATTTCATCATGACAACCCAAAACACATTCTGCATGTGTTACAGCAGCATGGCTGTAAAATCAGAGAGTTTGGGTGGCTAGACTGGCCTGCTTGAAGTCCAGCCCTGTCACCCACTGAAATGTGTGGTACATTATGAAGCGCAAAATACGACAACAAAGGCCCTGTACAGTTGTGCAGCTGAAGACTCGAATAACAAAGAATGAAGGGGAAAAAAACAGGTTTCAAAACTGGATTAATTTGTGTCCCAAAACGGTTATTAAGTGGTAAACAAACTCCTGTCCCCTTTTTTTTTTTGGAATGTCCTGAAGACATCAAACTTGGAATTAGCCTATATTTACAAAAAGGAAGTTAATAAGGTAAAGCATCAAGTTTTTTTTAAAATACAGATCCAAGGGGATTTACAAAACGCTTTCTGTTTTTATTAGCATTTCACATACTGACATAACATTTTGAGAACTGAGGTTTTTTCTAATGTAGTTTGTAAAACCTTTTACAATAAAAAGCCAAATTATGTTTTATCTATGTTTTAGTGACCCATTTTTTTTTCAAATACAGGGCATCAAACCAACGCCATACCATGCTTATATGATTTTTACAAAAACGTCACATATAATGTTTGTTGTTACAAGGGCTAAATTATTGGCACAAGTTAATTCCAATATAGACAATTTAATTAAATCTGGAGAACTGCTGAAAAAAATTTGCTGATGAGCTTGAGTACTGTGCCCCCAAACGCACATAATACATGCCTGCTGGAAACACTACTGATAATTAAAATTGTAATTCAAAAGAATAAACTTAAAGTGCATTTTTGTCTGTGTGGAGAAAATATTTTTTGAGTGTTTGTGTGTGCACTAAGAGTGTATGACTTAATACTTATCTACCTCTTTTTCAGGATCATCATCCAGGTGTTGAAATCTCCTCTTCACAGTGCGGCCAGAGGAGGTCACCATCACTTGGGAGGAGGCCTGCACAGAAAAGTTAATATTTTTTAATCAAAAATCATTAACATTTCATAACTTGTCAAGCCTACAGCAGAACATTTGTTGAAATCTTGTTTGTGGTCTTGTTCATCAATCAATGAGTGTATGAAAATGGATATAGCCAGATATCGAAGTTAAATTGAAATTGAAGAACAGACTTGCCCTCCTGTCTCGAGATGTAGTGATAGAGAAATCATGGACCACCTCATAGTGCAAGTTGAATCCGGTTTCTTCTCTGATCCTTAGAACACTTTAAAGGAAACAATAACCAAACATTCAGATACAACTACACTACATTAACCACGTGCCTTAACTTTATTTATCAGAGCCTCACTTTATGGTGCTGGGTCCAGCGTGGATGATCCTGCCTGAGTCATCAGGGTGGAAGAAAATCCAATCTGCCTCCAGCGAGTCACACTTCATGTCTTGTATGCCATTCTTTGCCTGTTTTAAGGGAACTCATGTCAGCGAAGCATACATAAGAGATTAGAATCAATTTGAAAGAGAGAGTCTTTTAAAATAAATTGTTTCCCAACAACACTTTTTCCTCTACAATGTATATACTTAAGTACATTTGAAACTAAAGAAATAATTAGACAGCAACCTTCATTTTTCTTTTAATTAACTTTTTTGATTTGACTACTGTATCCATCTCTGTAAATGGTTGCAGTTGGGGCTGTGTACAGCCTATGCTACCTGTAGACAATTCTCTACAATTACTGTCAAACACACCTGCTTGACACTGGTAGTGACATGCTCCAAGAGCTCTCAACTATTTTCTCCCACTCACTGCACTGGTGCAACACTGCAAAGTCTTCAAATAAACAAAGCCTTAAGCAGGCTTAAATAACTCTCTATAGTGCAAATGACACATGGACTGTATGTATGAATCTAGAGGTAGCACTATGATTATCATTACTGAGTATTTTATGCTTAACAGCAACACTAACTTTGACAGAGTCTTTAAGTCAATTTTAGATTCCATCTTAAAAAAACCAACCTCTAAACTAATCATTCTGGAGTTGATTCTTTACTAATTACAAGACTAAATACTGCTGCCCAAGGACACTGCTGGCTGCATTTCACTGGTTGGTTGACTATTCTTAGTTCAGTAGTGACACTGAGGTGTTTAAAAACTTCAGCAGCACTGCTGTGTCTGGTCTGCTTGTACCAGCACAACACATACTAATGCACCACCACCGTGTCAGTGTCTCTGGAGTGCTAAGAATGATCCACCACCCAAATAATACTTGGCTCTGTGGTGGTCCTGTGGAGGTGCTGACCACTGAAAAAGAGGGAAAGGGTTAACAAACTATGCAGAGAAACAGATGGACTGCAGTCTGTAACTGCAGAACTAAAGTGCACCTATACGGTAGGTGGACCTGATAAAATGGACAATGAGTGTAGTTACAAGAAGATGTACTTACTGAAGTGGCTGTTTAATGTGTGGCGCATGTGTAAATAATTACCAGGGCACCATCTCTGACTGAGCAAATGTGGTGAGTTCCCCTGTCTCTCTTATGGTTAGGTGTGTAGATGTAGTGCCATGGATGGCCGCCAATCTGGATCCCATTATCAAAGTATGACATCTCGAACAGCACAGGAGGACACTCTGGCATGAGGTGAAGGGAGAAGCATAAGTAGTTACATATTACTGTCTTTCATAACTATAAGAGGCTCTGCCCATTCACTAACACAGGGTCTGTTAGAGGTTGTTCAGTACCATGGAAGAAAGGCTCAAAATATTCTATAAAAATGTCCTGCTTTCTTGAACAGATCAATTACACCATGCGTTAAAGTTGGTGTAAGGACAATATTTGCTGCAATGTTCATTAGAAACTGATGGTGATCATTCACCTTTGATCTGAATGTTCACTGGAATGCCATATGGTGCATTTCCCACTATTCCTCTTGCATCATACAAATCACACTGCTGTCCCAAAACCAGCTCCTTAGTCCTGAACTGGAACGAAAGGTAATAAGCTGACAAACGTACAATCTAAATCCACAGATTTAGACTCACTTCCATTTCAAGACTATAATACCTTGATGTCCAGAACATTACCTGCTTCATAATGTATTCAAAGCTGTAAAGCTTTACACATTTGGTGTTGTGCGACACTACCAAGACTCCTTGGGACAGGAGCACATCAACCACAGATTTCCCAAAGACCTAAAAACAAAAACCTATCAGTCATTTTCAAAACATACTTTTAACCACTATTTGATAAAAAGTATGGCAAAGTTTGGTTTACTTTTTTGCTGATCTCCAACAGTCCTACAACATCAAGAGGAAATACTCTGAATATGGCTAAATGCATGAAGACGTTATTATCAACGCCAGCCTAAGAAAAAGACAGAGAGAGAAAATGTAAGATCTTACTCCAACTCTATTGTGCACAGTATGAAAAAAGAACGGAATAATGAAAAAACAGATCCGCTTCACCTGTCGTGCTAATGGTGTCTGTTTCTGCTGAATGGATTTGACATAAAATGTTTCCTGTGGAATATCCCAGCCCAGAGATCTGTCAGGGCATAAGGGTTAACACAGAGATTACCACTACTGAAACTAGTGTTTCATAGCCTGCTCAAAACTAAACCATTTCAAAATCAAAGTCACAGTGCAATGCTAGTTTATGGGCACAACTCAAACTTCACTTGCTCACTTGTGTTATAGCTGATATTACAACCAGATTACCTGAATCTGAAATGAGGTGAGAGGTAGACTCTTTGTAGCGTTTCTCCTGTGTCTGCTGAGAGGCGATACAGCCAGTTATTGGCCGTTAAGGCCAGCAGACAGGGCTTCTGCTCTGAGGCATGTGGGAGCACCTTATCCTGTAATAAACATATCATAGTTAAACTGCAGGGGTTCATGGTACCATACATAATCATTTCTTTTCGCTAATTTTCAAATTACAACATACTTTATGAGTGCACTTACAAGAGGACACTGGCATAATAAGGAGTCCTCGATCTTTTCAGTTTTGGACCGCCTTGGTAACTCATACAAGAGCTGCGGCTCGGGTGTCAGGCTGAAATTCATTATGTATTTACACATAGTTAAATTTGACCAATTAAATTTGAATCCGCAGCAAAAACAATAGCACTGGGCTGTGCATTTACCTGCTGTAGCAGTTCCTGTAATTCTCAAAGTATATCCTTCCACTTTCATAAGAGATGAGGGACTTGGAAGATTTTGTCCACACCTTGGTGAAATGTGCACCATCCTTGCATAATAAGCAGCATAAATTAACAACCAGTAACAATAAGGGCCGCAGCAACAGAAAATAACATAAAAAAATGAAAGAGTTAGCTAAGCAACATACCTGGAGAATGATATTTTTGAGAATCTTGAGATTTTCTCCTAGTAGTGTACCGAAGTCATTGGAGGTTATCCCCCTTGTCCTGAAGCCTAAAGCAGTGCAGGCGTTCTTTATTCGCCGTTTTGTCGCTAGGGGGCGCAGGACAGAAGACTGATCCAAACACACGGAGGATGATGTTGACACCATTGATGGGATTTAGACTGGCTAGCAAAGTCCATCCAGGTAACCTATGTCGCCAGGACGTTTAAACTCAGCTGTCTTATTTAGGCTTCCTCGGCAGAAAAACTGCAGCGTCCATATTCACTTCCACGGTAGCAGCTTACAACCACCCGAGTAACTTACATTATCTTATCTTACTGCATGGCTGATACTCTTAGGTTAGCCAGTTAGGTTAACCTGCTTGCTAAGCTAAATGTTAATGAAAGCATCTACCTAACTAACACTGGTAAATAAACGCGACTGACGCTGCAGGTTGGTGATTTGAACATGTTAATCCAATGGCTTTCGCATGAAACTCGGTTTAGCTGTGAGTGCAGTTAGACGTGGGCTACCTCGTTCATTAGTTTTCTGTTTTTAGCAAACTAGCCGGCTAACTAGCTAGCTAACGTTTCTCCAGTCTGCACCGGGCCCACTTCGTGTGTTTTAGACACGTTCAGGTTGGTCAGTTGTTATATATGCAGAATAGTTTCAGTGCTTCACCAGTTTTACCTCGTGGATGTAACTATGCAAAGCAAGAGTATTCATGAGTTTAAGTAGTGTTAGAGTCCCTCTCCACTCACTCCGCTAAAAGCTTTGCCGTTTCACTCCACCTTCCCCTCGGTCAGATGGGGAACCCGCAGAAAAAGCCCGAAAACCCGGGTGAAACTATCGAACTGATAAAGTATCACTCCACTCCAGTGAAGTTAGAGTCGGAGAGAGACTCCTGAGGATTCTCACTTACTCGATTTCGCTCCCTAACCCGAGTGTTCAAACATCACCCCGGAGAGAGCGCCCACAATGCACTGCACGACATCATCTTAAAGGGGAACTCCACCGATTTTACATTTTTTTGCATAATTCCGTGGGTGCGTTATAAACAAAACCATTGAGAGTGGTTTGATGTGGAGAAAGTTACAGACTCAGATTTCTTTACAGTGGTGGTGATGGGAACCAGGGGTCGCCATATCCACAACACAAATATAGCCATTTTATTTTCTATCCAAAACCACCGATGAAACTCCACATGCCTTCTCAGTTTTTGTGTGTGATGTTGATGATGGTACAATAGTGGAAAATCCGGGAAAAAGTACGTTTCCTTTGGGGATTATTTTGCCCTGCATGTACCCCTCCACCATGAATGCATTCAAGTAAATGGATTAACAAGACGTTTTAGGCCAAAACAATATTACAACACTATGATAAAACAATGTCTCATGCATTGTATTACAGCAGATTCATAACCGTTTCATGCAATAACTTCCTGTGAGGGAGCTTTTAGAGACATTAAACTCAGACGTCTGGTTTCTTTCACCAGCACTGTGAACAGTTCGTTTAAGTAAGTTTCTCTAGAACGGAGCATTTCACACCAAACCACTCTGAATTACTCTGTTTACATCTCAACCATTAAATTATGTAGAAATTTTGAAAAATTTGTGAAGTTCCCCTTTAACTCTATCGCTGCACATCAATTTCAGAAATGTACATTTTTATTCTGGCTTGCAAATATAGATGTAGTAGTTCAGTGTTTTTTTTTTAATTTTTTTTATTATTTACGTATTTGCTATTTTTGATTACAGAACTAAGCAATCTTGTTGTTACAAAAAATTGTCTGTTTCAAGAGTTAAGTGTCCAGAAATATTGGGCGATATTGTTAGCAACTTTTACAGATTTTCTAAACAATATTTAAAAAAATGTGCAAGATGGGATATTTTTATACAAGCTACTGATAAATTTCTGATACAAATCTTTTTGAGGGAGCGTAAATGTTATAATTTACCCTAGTATCAGGGTTTATTGTGACAGAATGAGGGACCGAGGGCTAGTTGTAACATTTGCTGTATACATCTACTGAACAGAGGCAAACACAATACATTCAATACAGTTTTATGCTGTTTAAATCAAAAGAGCTTTCCAACCTAAATACCTAAAATTATATGCTTCAAAATAACTATCATTAATAAAAAAAGTGTCAAAAACATTTGGCACATTTATTTTAGACCACAAAGCAGAACAGCAAATATCAGCATGATACAACTAAAATATATCATTAAGTTGGCTTTCTATACTCAAAAAACTAAATGCTATTCCCCCTACAGTTTTTGAGCTAGATTTATATAACTTTGCAGGATCGTAGTACCTATACCCGATTAGGTTGCTTTTGCTTTTCTAAGGAATCCGACGTTCGGTTTTCGTAAAATTATCGTTCAAAGATTATATATTTTTCCCATAGGAATGAACGGGCAGAATGTTGGCGACATTCAAATTTGTGATGTCACAATGAGCACCTCTCACACACACACTCACGGACGGAACACATAGTCTCACACGCTCACAGCCTAATGCTCCGCAGCATCAGCACAAATAATGAATTTTTCAAGGTGGAACTGCTTTTAAGGTAGCACTGAGTTTAAGATGGCACTGAACTTAAGGTGGAACTTCATTTAACAAAGCATTAAATTTAAGGTGGAACTGCAATTAATATAGCACTTAACTTAAGGTGGCACAGAATTTAAGGTGAAACTCTCTGTAAGGTAGCACTAAAGTTAGGGTGGCACAGAATTTAAGGTGGAACTTCAATCAACATAGCACTAAACTTAAGGTGGCACAAAATTTAAGGTCGAACTCTCTTTAAGGTGGCACAGAATTTAAGGTGGAACTTTATTTAAGGTGGAGCTGCATTTAGGTTAGCACTAAATTTATGGTGGCAGTGAATTTAACACCACATTTAAGGTGGAACTGCTTTTAAGGTAGCACTAAAATTAAGGGGAAACAGAATTTAAGGTGGAACTTTAATTAACATAGCACTAAATTTAAGGTGGAACTTCAATCAACATAGCACTAAAATTAAGGTGCCATGGAATTTCAGGTGGAACTCTCTTTAAGGTAGCACTAAAATTAAGGTGGCACAGAATTGAAGGTGGAATTTCAATTAACATATCACTAAATTTAAGGTGGCACTCAATTTAAGGTGGAACTGCAATTACCATAGCACTAAATTTAAGGTGGCACAGAACTTAAGGTGGAACTCTCTTTAAGGTAGCACTAAAATTAAGGTGGCACAGAATTTAAGGTGGAACTCTTTTTAAGGTGGCACAGAATTTAAGGTGGAACTTCTTTTAAGGTGGCACAGAATTTAAAGTGGAACTCTTTTTAAGGTGGCACTCAATTTAAGGCGGAACTGCAAATACCATAGCACTAAATTTAAGGTGGCACAGAACTTAAGGTGGAACTCTTTTTAAGGTGGGACCAAATTTATGGTGGAACTTCGTTTTAGGTAGCCCTAAAATTAACGTGGAACTTCATTCACGGTAGGACCTAGCAACAAATTATCATCCAACACAGATACTGTGGCTTCTGCTTAACAACATTTTGGCAACTTTTTAACAACTGTCAACTGTCAACTGTCTTCAACCATTTTAACGTTTTAATGTAATTAACTTGCTTTTTCAAGCCAACTGAAAGTTTGTTCACAAACTTTCCCTTTCTAGTTTTAATTACATCTGTAGTACATCTATATCATTCATGAATCTGTGAATTAAAAGTTCCAAAAAATTAACTGTTTTGAATCTGTATTGGGGTTGAGAGGTTTGGGGTGGTCATGGTTGAACTTTTCTCAGTATTTATAATTGTTTGGCAAAGTTGGCTAGCTCTCACTGTGAGTTGGTTACATGCCTCAAAACAGTGCATATTTCAGCCACCAAGAGACTTATTTTAACAAAATGGGTATGAATTAGAGGTGGGCGATATGTCAAAAATATAATATCGCAATACTTCAGTACATTTTCACGATGCACAATATGCCACAATTTTTTTCCCAGACATCTGATCAGTTGGAACAGAGAAAAAAGAACCAGTAGTGCTACATTAAAAAAAAAAAACCATCAAAACGCTGACAATATCCACAATATGTTCAGAAAAGCATATTGTATTGTATTATGACATGATTTATTACAACAATATATATATATATTATATTGTTGTAATAAATTTATCACAACAATATATATATATTGCTCAGCCCTAGTGTGAATTATTATTATGTATGTTTTACCCAAAGCTGTGTTACATTTCATCACATGTTAGGTTGTGCCTCTTTCTGACTTGAGTGGAACACTCACAAGATTAAGTTATCAGTGCTCTGTGGTCTTTGTGGTTTGCTTTGTTTATTCCTTAAAAAAAGTGAAATTAAACTGAAAGATTTTGAAAAGTAAATAGTTATTTACTAACATACTACAGCTCTCCTGATCAAATGAAAGAGGCAAAATGAGAGGACTGTGGAAGTTGACAGTGACTGCTGTAGCCCGCGGTGTTAGACACATTCCCTTCAGACTCCACAGTGGACGGCCTCCTGCACCGCTAGGAGCCAGAATTCTAACCAACCCCGACGACATCTTCCAGCATAACATGTGGTATGACTATCCAGTAACATTTCATTATTTTAATTGATTCAAGAACCATAAGAAGGTGTACTGAGCAGTTTCTGGTATAGGGGAAACAAAAATTTACTCAGTCCCTTTTAGTTAACTCTTAACCTCATTCACAGCAAACGGTCACTCAAAAACTTGTTTCTGATTAGCTGACAAAGGAGAATGCTTACTCCTGTTACTGTGCTTAAGGGATCATGTTCAGTGGTCACCGGAAGAGTTTGAAGAAGCCAGACAAAAAGCAGAAGAAAACTCCAGAGAACGGATTCCAATAGAAGAGCAAGGTAAGGTCGTCCCAAACCAATAATATTTTGATTCTTTTCAGAATGATTACTGCAATGTATATGAACTATAGCTGTCATATCAGCAATCAAGTAATGTACAGATTATTTTGACAATTAGTTACGTTTTATAAAAGGCCAAATAATAGAAATGGGCCTTACTGAACATGACCTAACTAACAGACCATGAATAGCTTTTCAAAGATTAAAAAAATGTTGCCTTATTTTCTAAGATAAGAAACATTTAAAATACTTTAAAAAGAGCATTGCAGAGTTACAGAGGAGATCAATTTTACTTGAAAAAACCAAGTAATCAAGTTTAATCAGTTAATTGGGGCAGCCCCAATGTGAACATGTGTTGAAGTTTGTTGTACTGACATTGAGGCTAACTAGTTTGTTCAGTTTTAAGCTCTGTGTATGACTTCCAGTTAGGTATGACAGAGACGCTAACATGTATTGGAACGGATTTTATGAGATGCACCAGAACAAGTTCTTCAAAAATCGGCAGTGGCTTTTCTCTGAGTTCCCTGAGCTCTTGCCCCAGGGCTGTGAGGCAGACCATACCTCATGGGGGCAGGAGAGTGGGGTGACTGACCTGAACAGCCAAGGAGGCTGTCACAAAGACTTACTCATTGACCTTCCTGTACTTGGACAACAGCAGCAGCACAGCAGTTCCAATTCTGCAGTAAAATCTCACAATAGTGTTGCTTTCCCTGGACAACATGCTTCCTTCAGGATACTCGAGGTCATTAGGATTTCAGATTTCATTTAATTTTAGTGCTTGATTCAAGAATGGTTAATCGCATTGTTATTTAGCTTATGAATGAAATATTATTCATATCCTTTTTAGGTGGGCTGTGGTGCCGGCAACAGTGTGTTCCCCATCATCAACACCATCAGGTCAAAAAGCAGACAATCATGTTTTTGTTTGTTTCACTGTGTAAAGCCAGCCTTTTGTTTTACTGTGTAAAGCCAGCCTTAAACAAAAAATCATATTCAAATCACAGTCAACAGATCTGAGATTGAGGCCCAATGTCTTCCGTTATGTAACCATGTTGAGGTTTGGGCCACACAGCTTTAGAGGTTCTCCTCGAGCATTCTACTTAGTGAGCTCTGTGAACAAGTAAACAATATGAGCATGTCTGTTAAAGAAGAAATATTTAGGATTTTATGTTTCAATTAAAAGGTTCTCCATAAATCTGTTGCCAACAATAAATGAGTTGCATATCAGTGCTTCTCTGCTTTGTTTAAACTTAAATATTATAAAAATATTACGAATGTTTGGGCTTATTCTTTAAATCACATTGACCAGGTGGCCAAACATGTCAAACATTATCACTCAAAACCTTTTTATCTTTGAAAATAATGCAATTAAACTTTTATATTTGCCCTTGATTTTTTTATATTTAGTAAGAAAATTGTTAAATTGTTTTTTTCATGAAGAAGTGTACAATATTTTATGTGTGTTTTTTTCCTTCCAGGGAGAGTAATGCATTCCTGTACTGCTTTGATTTTTCTTCTCGAGCGATTCAGCTTGTGAAGGTAAAAAACTTCTGCAGTTAACATGAAATTAGATGTAACCAGTGGACCTTATCAACATTCAGCAATGAAACCCTTGAGAAAACTGTCATTTTATCAGACAGACAACAGTGGCTCTTCCCAGCCTTCATTTTGTGTTATCCTCATCCATTTTGCTGACAGAAGATCAGTCAGTCAAAATGGCTGCCGTGTCTGTGCGGTGTGCCTGTTGGCCTGGTGGATATTTGATGCTGTCAGAATGCCGAGGCTTTTGTCAAATGGCAGCGGCAGGCTGCTAGCACACTGAATACGTTAGATTGCACAGGGACAGGGACATTTAGTTTGCATTTTTCAGTTTTCAGAAACTAACATTAAATTGAGTTTGCATGGTGATTTTATGTATTCATGTGGGTGCTTCGTTAATCATGCAGTTGACAATCAAAAAGTAATTGCAATGAATTATTCAATTACATCCAATAATCACAACAGGTATTATTTTAATAATTGTAAGTGATTATACCAAATTATCCACTGTTATCTTACACTATGATCTATAACAGTAGGGTGTCTGATCACGCTGGAGATCAACCCTCTCCAGTCTCAGTCTTGTTCAGTCTTCAGTCTTCTTAGTGTTCTATTCTACATTTTTCTACGTTATACGTTTCCCATAAAGTTTACTTCTGAAATTTTTGAGGCTCTATGTGCCAAAAACAGCTATAATTAATTTTACATGACCCTTTCCAACCTCCTCTTTATCCCCTAGAATTAAAAGGCTGTTTTTAGGGTATCTTTAAGACTAACACATCTTGATAGATTAATGGTATGTAATGTGAAATGAATGGTACCTTTAAAACTTCAATAGTCTATAAATACTACACATTTCATTTAAAAAAGTGAGGAAAATTTGGTTTTTCATGATGAGCCATTTAACACATCTTCAATGCTCATATGTGCCTAAAAACCTTGATTCTGGCAATTATGTTTGTTAGACTAGGGCAGGACGTTACTAAACTCTGCTCAAGTTTAGAAGTAGATTTTGGCAGTTATGATTTAAGTCATTTAAGGACAAGGCCTCTTTTTTGCCCTCTTTCAGGAGCATCCAGACTACGACCCCGCAGTATGCCATGCATTTGTGCAGGACGTGTGTGATGACGCACCCCTTTTTCCTTTTCCTTTTGAGAGTCTGGACGTTATTCTAGTGGTTTTCGTGCTGTCTTCCATCCATCCTAAAAGGTAGGATACAGGTGTGGGGAGGAGAGCACAACAGCCATGTGCGCATAGGCTTATAAATCACCTGCTACTATGCAGACATCTATTTTTCTGACAAAACTGTCTCTAGATTTACTTCCTTCAAGAACATACCCTGTCTGTTTCCTGCATACTGATTGATTTCTGTTATGCTGGAATTTCTAACCCCATAACCTCATTCTTGACTTAAAAAAACTGCTTCTCTTAACAGTTGACCTGCAGTAAATCTATCAAGCCATCTTCTTCTCAACAATTTTTAGTCAGCACACTCCAGCACTCTGTGCTAGAGCAATTTGTTACCATGGGACAGTGTTAGTGAGATTTTGTTACACCAAAGCAAAATCATACTTTACATTCAATGTATTTGAGTATATAATATATATGTAACGTTTTATATGAGTAAATGATAACAGACATATCCTCACTGTCAGGACAAAACCCAAAATGTTAACATTGTAGGAGAAGGAAAATATTGTTCTTAACTTTGGAAGTTTATGGAACAAGATGTTTTTCCAGGTAATTTTAGACTTTATTCCTTCTTTCATTGTGAAACTTTAACACATTGTAAATGACAGCTAGCATTTTAAAATTTTGTAAAAAAAAAAAATGGAGATTAAAGATTTTGTTCCAACAGCACTGATATTAACCTCGATAGATTGTTATCCTAAGTGGTGGTTCTAGTTAGGCCTGTCACAATTATTACATAATTGCCTAATGACAATTATTTGAGATGATCTGAATAAGCTGACTGAAACCATTTTCCACAGTTGTTAGATTTCACTATCGCATTATGCTGCAACAAACACAAACTGAATTGTGTTTGTTGGTTTGAGGCAAATAAATGTAAATAAAGGAAAGCAGTAAATGCATTGAGACATCATGAGGCTCATGAAAACTAAGAAACCTTACTTCTAACTTGTTGCTCTAACTTGTTTAGTGGGCAGCGTTGAGTAATGTTTATTTGTTAGCTATGTAGCTAATTCTACTCTATTTAGCACCTATGCTAGCAGAATTAGAGTTTTTCTTTGAATTAGAGTTTTTTTTGCTGAGTTTGATTTTCACTCACTATAAGAAAATATAGCTTTGCTCAACTCTATGTATAATTCTGTGTAGCGGTAGACATTTTTATTAGCTACAGTAAACATAGCTTGCAAGTAATGTGGCTAATCAGCCAATCAGGCCATTTCAGTCTTCTATTTTAATATACAAACAGTGAACAAGAAAAGACAATTTAATTGTTAATCACAATTATTTATACAACAATTAATCGTCAGCTAAAATTTTGTGATCATGACAGCCCTACTTCTAGTATTATCCATATTAAATATAAACACTCCCCCGCCTTGCCCAGGCTCTGTGTATAGACTTCAGACATTTAACTTCACCACTTGAGAGATGTGCTGGAAAATTCTGCCCCGTATGAATGTCTGACACTGTCGGTTTACATATTTTGCCACAGCCCTTAAGTATTTATGATTCATTTCCAAGAGAATTAAGTGCAAGCAGGCTGGCCTTCAGCAGTACACTCGAGGCAGCCTGCTCTGTGTAACTTGCAGTGATGCTTCGCCATGTAGAGTGAGCTATTGTAGATTTCCTCTGATTAGGATTCTTTTTGCAGTCTGGCTGTCTACCAGCTCTTATGCTCTTCTGGAATACATTTTTACTTTACTTTTTACCTCTGTGTTTTTTGTGATTTTTTCTGTCTGTCTTTGTGCTTCTTTTTGTTCTGTTCTGGCTGCAAGATGGTTAAAATGATAATAACGATCACAATGATTATGATGATTCATCACAATTATTCAGACAAATCAGGAACCAAATGTTTTGTACATTGTACATTATAAGTTTATATTCCAAAATCAGACTGGCTCTTAGTCACATTGAGTGTATTACTTATATTTAGTGTAAAATGCTAAATATAAACAAAATAAGTAAATCAAAATAAAGAAATAACTATGCCACTGCAGTTTGCGAAAAAATAGAAACACAAGCCTGTCAAGTCTGGTTTGATTTAATCCATCATAGCCAATAAAAACTGATATTTAATGGTAGCAAGTTACCTAACTTTATCTAAATTTGCCAGTATGGGTGTCATGCTTATTTAATTGAGAGGCCAAAAATTATAATTCCCCTTGTGCAAGTCGGATTCTGTACTCCTTATTTTACTTATTTAATTATTTTAAGGCAGGCATAAGCATGGGGGTCTTCTCTTTAGTCTGTCATTATTATGGAGTCAGGCAGTCTTGCTCTGACCATTCAACTCATTAGAAGCAGAACTCAGGACAATTTATAGGGCTCCAGTTATGTAGAGGCATAAAAGAAAAACTAGAACAATGCTGTATGTGATTAAATGGACTAGTTCTTTTTGTAGATGCTGAACTGCTGTCAGTTCAGTGAATAACCAGATGATCATCATTACTTGGACAAAAAACTCCTTATTTTACTGAATAGTAATACTCTGTGTGTGTGAGACAGAGAGAGAATATAGAGCTTAGATCAGTTTGTTTGTTTGTGAATACTGTCTGTGGGTTCGTCTAATCTAACTGTGGGGTTCCCTGTTCTGAAACACATGATTCAATTTCTATTTACTCATGGGTTTTAAGGGATATCAGATTGATTTTAGCCTTTAAATATTAAGTCTTATGTGAAAATGTCATATGTTCGTGTATGTTCTCTTATATGTTATTCTGAAGAAAACACTGTGTATTATCTCTGTCCCATTGGACTGCACATTTGTTACTGTTTCTGACCACAATAGGATGCAAGGAGTGCTGAATCATCTGGCTGGCTATCTGAAGCATGGGGGAATCATCCTGTTCAGAGACTATGGCAGATATGATTTGTCACAGCTACGATTCAAAATAGGTAATTTTTTTATACTTGTTTAATTTGTTTTGCATTATATGTAACATGCTTGTTGGTGCAGGGATAGTGATTCACACCGGTGCTATGTACACTTTAAACAAGCTTTTGTTTGTGTGTTTGTCCATTGACAAAGCTACGCTTTGCCTAAAAATGCAACACGAGGAGCATTTAAATTGAGGTGTAATACATAATAGTTTAGAGTTGCAATTGCAGTTGGAATGCTTGGAATATCACATGACCAAGTTTCTGTCATAACAACAAATGATTGAATCCACACCCAAAGCACACACATACTTTAAAAAGCTTAGACAATCTTATCTGTTACGTCCACATGGATACTTTAACTCTCATTTATCTGTGGAGTAAAGTTAACACAGTAGACTTTGTAGACTTTACCGTGTAACTGCCCTCCCTTATCTTTCCAACATGAGAGAAGGCAGGACTTCTGTATGAGTTAAAAATCCGCAATGTCTGCTTGATGTAGCTGTGCAAAATCTTTCTTTGTTGTTGTTCTTTAATTTGGATTACGTTTGGATTGCATTTTGTATTACACATATCTTTTTGAAGTTGAAGTAATTATTATATTCTTATTCTTATACCGAAATAAAATTCTCTTACTACTTTCAAATGTAAAAAAAAAAGATTTGGTGTGTTTTATTGTTATTTCACTACTGTGTAGATAGTTCCTCCAATCACTCTTACAGTCCCTTCAATAATTATTGGCACCCCCGGTAAAGATGAGCAAAAAAAGGGTTAAGTCACATTTTGGTAAATTAGCTTTATCTCACACTGAAATAATGAGAAAAATCCGACCCTCAATTGAAGTGAAAAATTGAGGAAAAATCATCAAGAAATGTTTATTTTTTTAAAAAAAAGCACCCCTGCATTTAATACTTTGTACAACCTCCCTTTGCTAATACAACAGCACTTAGTCTACTTCTATAACATCTTATAACATTGGAGAATACAGAGCAGGGAATTTGAGATCATTCCTCTTTTCAGAATCTCTTCAGATTCTGTCCAGGGTCCTAAGTCCTTTTTTGTGCACTCTCCTCTTTAGCTCACCCCACAGGTTGTCTAAGGGGTTTAGATCAGCGGACTGGATAGCAGTGGCAGAAGCTTGATTTTGTGTTCAGTAAACCATTTTTGTGTTGATCTAGACATATGTTTTGGATCACTGTCCTGCTAGAAGATCCAGTGATGACCCATTTTTAGTTTTAAGCTAATATAAACTCCAGGTGCTTATGTTTGTGGTTAGATGACAGGAAATGCTTTTTCCCTGCATGCCTTCCAATACTCTGTTGGCATGGTGGCATCTGATGGTAATTTTGGAGACTTGGTGACCCCAAGATGCTACTTTTTTCTGAAGCTCTCCAACAGTGATCCTTACAGATCCTAATATACTAAATATTTTTTGCCTCTCTTACCATCCTCCTCACTGTGTGTGGGGACAAAATAAACTTGGGTTCTCGTACTAGGCAAGTTTGTCACGGTTCAAACTGACCTGTAGATATGGCATTTTCAGACGAGTAGCTATTTTTTATAAGGGTCACTTTTCTCTTATTTGAATTGTGTGTTCTCTTGTCCTTCCCATGTTGAAGAATGACTAGGGAGATTTGAGCTCTGTGTCACCACATATATATACCCCAGTGAAACAGGAAGTCATGGTTTACTGCTTGAAAGTTCCTAGATACTCTTATCAACTTAAAGCACATGTATCAGGATCCACTCCTTGCAGACTGCAGACTTGTGCACACTGCCTCATTAAACACACCTTATTCAGCTCATCAGGTAATTAGCAAGGCCTTCATGAACTGAATTCAGAGCACTAAATGAGGGTAAATGCTAATCTCTGCAGCACTTTGGCCAGGAAGGTCTCCAGTTTGACATGCCTGACTTAAAGAAAAATATAAATGAAAAAAATGCTTCAGTTTGATTCTAAGAATTTCTAGGGCTGCTAATAATTGTGGCATATGTGGTTTTGTTAAAAAAAATTCTTGATGAGGGTTTATTTTTATCTCAGAATAAATTTAATTAATTAAAGGTTGGATTTTTCTCATTTTTTCAGCGTGAGATTAAACTAATAAACCAGAAGGTGAATTTCTTCTAAGCTTTTTTACTCATTATTACCAGGGGTGCCAGTAATTGTGAAGGGGACTGTATGTATTCAGTATTTATTTTAATAACTAAAAATTTCTGATTTCACGATGCATTTAGTGATTTCAGTTGACGCAAAGCCATAATCTAATTGAATCTTTGTGAGGTTCAGAGCTAAGATTACAGCTACAGTTTTACAGCTATCATATTCTGCCTTTGCAGGTCAGTGTTTGTCAGAAAATTTCTACACACGACAAGACGGAACCTGTGTATATTTCTTTACTAAAGGTAAATTAAAAAATGTGTTTCGAAATGTAAAATCTTAAAATTAATATAAGGAATGAGTGAAGACTGCTGCATTAGAGTTACCTGAGATTACTACTCGACAGCATGAGTGCTTTTTTTAATTATCGATTCCTTTCAAGCCTGTTCTGTCTAATCATTTGATAACAAAATATAGATAAGATCTTTGTTGTTTCCACAGACGAGGTCCATCAGTTGTTCACTAATGCGGGCTTGGAAGAGCTTCAGAACCTGGAGGACAGGAGGCTACAGGTGAACCGAGGAAAAAAAATAGTGATGCACAGAGTTTGGATGCAGAGCAAGTATCGGAAACCTTGAAACATGCTGACAACATGGCCTCTGTAGAGCATGGACCACCCAACGTTCACAAAAAGAGGACCACCGTGATGACTTTAATGAAACATGCCATTTGCAGTACAGAAGAAAATGTCTATGATGACAGTATTGACATCTCCCGTAGCTTCCTCTGTAATTCCTTGATGTCTCCTGATGGGTGTTGTAAGAGTTGACATTAACAGAAAAGCCTTTCATAAGATGGTACTTCTAAAAGTCAAAGAAATGAAGATATCAAAATGGGATCTTTTAATAAATAGTTTTTTTTTGTAAAACCTATTCTGATTATTACTTTTTTGTCTTATGTGAATGAAGATAATAATAAAAATAATAAAAAATAGTAAAAGATAGTATAGACCAGTAAATGTTGAGCACCAACATTGTAATGAGGTACAGATGATGCTTTATAATGAGGGTACATGTCTGTGTAGCCTCTAAACTTTAATGACATGCTGTTACGTTTTACTTTCTGGAGGATACAGAGCAACAATGTATTTAACTAGTGGAATTATTAATTTATTACCTGTTAACCAGTGAAGTGTTTATACTAAAACTTCAGACCCCAGCCCACATAACTCTAAAGTGTTTACAGAAGCTTTTGCTAGGAAGCTGCATAAATATGAGTTGATTAGTTATTGAACGCTCTTATTTTTTTTGCATTAAGCCACACAGTTCATGAAGACATTTTATTCACATCATATCTATTGGATATTTACAATTATTGTACATTTGACCTCTTAAATGGCCTCTTAAATACACACTTCTGTAACCTAAGAATAGCTCAGCCAGTTTGCATTGAGGCTCCTGTACTTACTGAATAATAAGACTTAATAAGACTGGGATTTTAAGGGGTTAAACCCCAAAATGCGATCATTTGTGTGTAGTTTTAACTGCTTCTGGACAATAATTATACTTGGAAACAGTCAGATTAATGTTAATTTCTCCATCTTGAGTTTGCTAGGCCTAAAACATGCTGTGGATATACTACAAAAACCTAAAACAGAACTGTTTTTGTGCACTGCTTTTTCTGCTATATTCCAAATACTTTTTTGTGTGCTACTGTTTACTACACCTAACCGCCTTCCTGGCCCTGTTTCATCAGTGTTTTTTTACTTGTTTAGTTCATGTTGCTAAGTTGGTGTTATTATTTACTATGTGTATTCTGACCATGACAAAGACTTACTGTCATTAAACCAGCATCAATATGCTGTGAAGAGTCATTTTCGCAGGGGACACTTTCTGAGTTTCACATTCAAATCTGGGCAACAGCTTAAATGGAAGTTATAATTTTAGAAGTGTGGTTTCCCTCAGTTTAACTCCTTAAACCTATTTTAGGCAATCCAGGATCACATGTACCAGTTTAATTTTAAAGCTTTAACAATATGAGATAATATATGGTAGTTCTCTAGCAGCATTGATGTGTAAATGTGTGACCTCATCTGGGAAAACTACTGTTTACTGCTCAGAGGGGCAGCAAATGTAATTTTTCTTCACAATAATCATTTTTAAAATTAGATTGCATATCTAGAAAATTAAATCAAATATTTATTTATTAAATTTAAATCATGCATTGTTTGGTGTTGCAAGTTATTATACTGATTGTTGAATGGGGTGCAATTTTCTGTCCAGAAAAGATCATAGGAAAATATTAAGTCACTTATATATTTTGGATATATCATTTACAGTATGTGATGTAAGAGATGTTTACAATGTTACGTCACGGATTTTCGGAGAGCCTCCTTTTGGCCTTTTCATCATCAGTATCGTTGTTCAGCGGAGCTGCTGCTGATCTTCGCCATATCGTTTCCAGCACAGAGGCTGGAGCAGCTCAGGAGCTTCTCAGGTCAGTCAGTCTCTCTACGAGGCGGTAGACGCAGTGCAGAGCGATGAAGGTTTGTGTCCAAAATGTTAATTTTACACAAAAAGGCAAAAATATTAAACATATGCACGAATGTTTTTTGCCATTGCTGTAGGTATTTGCTGTAAAAAACGATTCGTCGTCGTCGACGCCTAATTTTTTTGTTTGCTTTGTCGTTCCCAAAAGTAGCTTGATGAGTGTCCAAAGTAACAGTGGAAGTGGTGGAAGTTTGGAGGGGACGCCATCTTGGTCCCAGCTCTCCACGTCCCCAACACCGGGGTTGCTTTCTCAGCAATACAGCGAGCCACTCTTTAAGGCCAAGGAAGGTATTGTGCGTTTATTTTATTCCTACATGTTCGGGCTTTAATTTTCGCTGAAGTGTTTGGCTGAGCGTGGTGGTGGTGGTGAGAAATCCTGTCCCGAGTCGAGTTATGCCGAGGCCGTGGTTGGTGGCTTGTTCTATCAGTGCTAGCTTGGTTAGCTCGTTAGCACGCTAGCCAGATATACTGTAGTACAGTGCAGCTACTAGAGGTGTCTGCTTGATGTGGACTATCAAGTAAAAACCACCAACCGGCTAGCTCTGGCTGTGAACACCGCTTTATTGGTCAGTCTTCTTAGTTAGGCTGGGTTTTGCACTCGAATGAAAATTAAAACGGATCATTTGCGTGTAGTTTTAACCGCTTCCGAACAAGAGTCACACTTGGAAACAGTCAGATTAACGTTAGTTTCTCCAGCTTGAATTTGCTAGCAAAGATGTCTGATAGAAAAAAAGGGTCGGGTCTTTTGACATCATGGAGGACCTGTGGTTGTTTTGCCGAGAGTTTTATCCGATATAGCCCGTACAACTTTTTCGTGGTGGAAAATCGACTTAATGACATTTTTATTATTACTATAGTCAGCGGTGGCTGCTTCATATCCCTCATATCCTCCTCTGCCTTTTTTGGCACGGAGTCCAGATGACACTTTTTTTGTAATTGCAGGGAGCATATTGTGTCATGCATGCTCGTTACACATGGAGTGTCATGCTACTAAGCACCGTCATGGAGACATGGGTGTTGCTTTGGGAAAACAGTTGCACAGATGCCGGTAATACACTTTTTCTTGGGCATAAGGCATTAATAAGCATTTGGACAGAGCCCTACACTTGTTTCACTGACATTTATCTCGCACTTGTTGTTCTGCTGCGAGATTCACAGATTTTCAACTTCTGTCATTGTAAACGGACTGACGTGTTTCCTCCCTATAAGTTGGATCAGTTGCTGTGTGCCGGTGTTGTCTTTTAATTGCACTTACCACTATTGCAGTGGTATTGCTGTGTAATCAGTGGATATTATGCCTTTGAACGATTAATAGCATATCTGTGTAACTTAGAGACCTCTCAAAATATATTGAACTAAAGAGGCATGAATTTATGACAAGGGTTGTGTTTGTTACACTCTACAGTGATATGGTTTAGTTGTTACTTCTTTGGGGAGTTTTTGCAAACCTCTGGTTTTGCTAGTATTGTGCTGATAAATTTACATATACTGTGTTTTCCAAAAAATGGGCTAAAAATTAGTACCGTAAGTGTTGTTGCTATGTAATTATTCTTATTTTATATTATGAGGTGTGGAAAAAATATTTGGACATATTTTTGCCTGTTTTACAGCCATGGCCATTTATTTTGTGTCGACGAGCAGCCAAAGACGCAGTATACATCAGAAAGTGTATTTTAATATAAAAGTCTATGTGTCTGCCGTAAACAGGTGGGGACACAGGCTGCTGAAGTGCATAGAGAGCTAAAATGACATCCCTGCATTCTAAGGGTTCAACTGCTTCCCTGTGCAGGGGCTTAAAATTGGTGCCTGTGTGCACACTGAAAACCTATGCAGAATGTCAAGGAAATGATGCCTCCTAACCAGAGGGGGGTGGAGGGATTACTATTCCTGTACTCCAGTGTTCACCTAGTGATGGGTCTTTTAGTTTTATTTATTTATATGTATGTATGTATGTGGTTGTTGTTTAGGAAGCCACATAAAATGTAAATTATATAGCCTAAATGACCTTACCAGACTGCGCTTTTTTTTTCACCAGTTGACTCCTCCAATCACCAATTGTTTTGAAAGCTGATTGAATAATTTATCACTCTTGAAGGATGTCCTCCCTGCTGCACTATTACAGTGTGAAGCTGCTATAAGCAGATTCACCTTCTCCTCAGCTTTTTCTGCCATTAACTCTTATGATGACTCTCTCTGCCATCTTCAGCCTGTTTGTCCTCAGGCCTGATAACACTGCTGATCTTTGCACTGCCATTTTGTTTCAGGCTTAGTGTTTGGGGCGTCCATGTTGGCTCCTCATGCTCCATAGAGAGTGTGGGCTAAGTCTGGTTTAAAGGACTGCTGCCAGCCAGACGGTGCTGCAGAATGTCAGCTATAGCAGAGTGTTGGCTACAGAGATGCGGCTAGGCTCTGTGGCCAAGCTCTTTACTACATCGTTTACAGTAGTACTTCCACACAGTCAGTATATCTTTTACATATGGCACACCAGTCCACAATCTGCAGTAGATTAAATGTATTTAACAGCAGCACATTGTACATTTCATTTGCTCTTACATTTGCTCTTTGCAGCAATGAGATCTACAAATGCATTGACATGCTTATCTACAGTTGTAAGAAAAAGTTTATGAAGTGACTCTTAACATGGTCTGATGTTCATCTGTGTCATAAGTAATAAAGACACTGTTATTTGTCACTCGGCACATGTTTTACAGTGCCATATCTGTGTCGCATAATGGTTTATACAATCATGGTAATTGATGGAAAAACATGAGAGCGCTTATGTTTAGCTTATGCTTAGCAACTAGTGGTGCATAATCTAACTTCAACCATGTGTTTTCTATGGTTGTTGGTCAGTCCTGTGGTCTGGTTAGGAAGTTTTGGTTCATCCTACACACAGCTGTTTCGCCCCATTTTTTTTGTTTTTTTTGTTTTTTGTTGGAGTTTTGCTTAAATGGCCTGTTTCATTTGACGGGACTCAAGTAAGGCTCCTAGAATATGGAATGGCTTTCTGTTGTTGATTTGTTACTGTGTTATGGGTCATTTTTTATTTTTTGTGAACTATCGTCTTTTCTCCATGGAGTGTCATTACAGTAGTGCTGTGTAAAATTTCAGCAATCTTAGGCTGCGTTTGCACAGCAGGTAAAAGTGGCCCAAATCTGATTTTCTCAACAAATCCGATTTTTTTGTTTGGCTGTTCACATTATCTTTTAAATGTGACCTGTATGCGACATTAGTCTGAACAGATCAGCTCCTAAACCGACCCGCATGCGCAAAAGAACAGTGCTTCACATGGCGGCTCGTCCAGAGGTAAACAGTCATGACGGCCAGCGAACGGAGCTTCCTGTTTCGTCTTCACCAGCGTCACAGGAGCGATTATGAAGTTCCAGTGGTTGACAGTTGAGCTCATCACCCAGAATGTGTTCGAGTTTGCCGTAAAAAGGGCTCGATATTCGGCCATGGCCACTTCTTTGGTTTGTGTCCTCGGATTCTTTAAACTGTTCTTTGACGCTGCAGCCTCGGTCTCCTCCGGCCGCGTTCAGCCAGTTCGTTCAAAACCTCTTCGAACACGGAGCGGTTTGATGAGTCTCTTCTAATTTTTTTAGTACAGAAACATCAGACTAAATGTTTATGAGTCTCAGCAGCACGAAATTATGACGAATGTCGAGTTGGACTGACGCAAAAGTCGCATGAATTCCGATCTGGCTGTTCAGACAGAGTCGCATCGCCACAGATCGGATACGTATCGGATTTCAGTACCACATATGAAAGCGTCTCAAATCGGAATTGAAAATGTCAGATTCAATGCTTCGTTTCGTTTTTTGCTGTTCACACTGACACACAGATGACACATCTGTGTCACATTTGAGGAAAAAGATCAGATTTGGGCCACTTACCTGCTGTGTAAACGTAGCCTTAGAAAACTTGAGATGGGCAGCAAGGTTTCCTCTATGCTAATCTCCCATAAACACCACTCCTATTCTGTGTTTGTCTTATGGCAGACTCAGGAACAGGAACATAATGTGCAAGAGAGGCATTCTAGTTTCATAGGTATCACCTGGGTTTCCTTGTTACTGGTTTAAAGATTGTACAGCAAGGCCTTGTGATAATTTTGTAGAATGAAGGAGTAGCAGCATAGCTAAATTTTTTAATGTACTTGACTGTGGGATGAAGGACGGCCAGGTTCTTTAAAAATTGTTTCATATCCCTTTCCAGTCTTCCCCCTTCAGCCGCATTTCTTCTTTGGTCCTCAGATCTATTTTAATTGAGCAGTACTGAACTTGAACAGAATTCTTTTTAGAACGGATCACAGAATTTGGGTGTTTTTCTGTATGGTATGGCAGGTAAAACTTACAACACTTCAGGAGGTCATTACAGTGCTGGGAAGTAATAGACAACATGTAATCTGGATTATGTGATCTAATTACAAAAATCAAGTGCTTGCAGTCAGAGTACAATACCTTTCGAGGCTGCATCTTGAGATGTTTGTGGTCATTTAACTATCGGTTACTGTTTTTTCTATTGATGAATTTAAACATTTTGATCAGTAAAGACGTGGCAGTGTAAATTGCTTGTGTGATGTTTGCTAAATAACGCTGTCTTTATCATGACTCTGGCTAGATCGTGTTGTATTTTAGAAGCCATTTATACTAGGGGTGCACAATCAGAATTGGCCAAGGTTGAAATCAGGCCATTTTTGCTCCAAATAAGCAATGAGCAGTTGCCAAATTTATTAGTTTTGCAATTTTCTAATGTAAAAAATGCGAGTCAGATTGTGCTGTATTTGCAAGCAGCTGTTGCTATGCACATACCAGAATAATGGCAACTGATTTTTCATTTAGGAATTAAAATGCCTGTGTTCCCTGTTTACCAAGCAAATCAAACTGTTTATGCTGCAACTTTTGGCTAAACAAAAGTACCGGCAATGTGCTAGTGCGTTTCGTGTGTTCACACTGTGTGAGCTTTGGTTATTTTAAAATAAAAAAAAAACCACTAAATGGTGTACCCTTATGTTTATACAGAAATCCGAATGATTCCAAAGTGTTCACAAACTGTTTTTCACAAGTGTACCTTGATGTAGTTGCATAATATATATATTTTTTTAAATAAACATGCTAAAATAATTCAACATAACACTAGTATGCAAAAATTAGACCTTGAGATTTGCCCTGTGGCTTGATCAGACATAGAATGCAACAAAGAAAAGTACTTTTTAGTTCATGTTACAGAGCTGTAAACAGAGAGTAAAATAAAGAAAAGGAATGTCAAAGCTTAAAAAGCTTGATTGTGGG